GTGGGGTGTTTAAAAGAGGGATGATATCTATACTGGGAAGGGAAACGACAAGGCATGTCGTATTCAGGTTGCGGGTTGGACTTGAGAGCATATGCAAAGCTATGCGCTTGTGCGATAGCCCATGTCAAAGGACTGAGCACGCAGACAGCCTGCGCAAGGAAAAGAGACGCGTATGAGGAACACGATGTGAATGTATTTATCAGCGTTCAGCGTCAGCATTTGCTTCCTCAATATCAAAAAATCCTGCGAATGGAGACTGAAATGCGATAGGCTACAAGAGATGCCCATGTTGAGAAGTCTACATGCATCTAAATCATGTCGACTGAGACAGGCGAAGAACGCCCAAGATGATCGAAATACTACTCCTGAAACTCAGTCGTGTGACCATGAACACCATACCTCTTCCATAACGCCATGCCCATACACGCCATTGACCCTCGGTTTCAAAACATGTTATCTACCCAACAACAGGAATAATTCTCCCCGCCGCCCTCATCTGGCCTCTCTCCTCCTCAATCTCCTTCTGATAGTCCAACACCAATTCTCCAAACTGCTCAATCTGATCCTGAGCCTTTGGTGCTCCAATCAACACAATGCCCCTGGGCACAACCACATCATTTACCTGAAAGCACCCAAACGTAACCACCTTCTTGATCGCAGGACACGACCGGAAGACACCAGCGACAATCCGCGTATCAACCACGGGACAGAAAGACAAGTTGATCTCGCGGAGATGAGGATATTGTTTGATGCCGTCAAAGACTTCTGTAAAGGTCGTGTGGGAAATGTGGCGGCAGGAAGATATGTCTAGGAACTCGAGGCGCGAGCCGGAATGTGTCATCAGCGCGCGGAAGCCGTTGGAAGCGAGGCCGATGGGTTCATCCTCTGGGCCGTCGGGGTTGGAGTTGTCCATGTCGCGAGTGGAGTTTACGTCGATGTAGTGGAGGGGCGGGGTATCCCAGCTAGAGAAGAGATTGACGTAGCCAGTGTCGGTGCACTCGTTGTTTTCGGTGAAGCGAAATTTGCTAAGTTGGTGGCACTTGTTGTGGATGGTCTCTAAGACGTCGTCGGTGGGATCTGTCGTGTTGTCGAGAAAGTGCTCTAAGCATAGCGTGCGGAGGTTGGCGCCGACGGAGTTTACCAAGTGGACGAGCTTCTCGCGGGTGATGGGGTCGTAGAAGCGGAGTGTGAGGTGCTTTAGGTGCTTCAAGTGAGCTATGGCGTCGATGCTGTCTGGGCCAATCTTCTTGCAACGCTCAATCTTCAGACGCTCAAGGTTCGGACAGAGAGTGGTGAGTGCTTCCACTACCTGGTCGTCGAATGCGGCGTCCAACCACTCCACCTTTAGAGTCTTCAAATCTTGGCCTCGGGCGATGAAGAGTTCAGCCCATTTATCGTTGGAGACAAGGTTAGCGCCCAATAATTGAATCTCTTCAAGCGCCTTCGCCTTCTCGTTCATGTAGTCGATATTGCTGTCCTTGAACTGGCAACAGTTGCGAAGAGACAGACGCTTAACGTATGGGCAAACTGCAAAGATCTGATCATAATCCTCAGTCTCGAGGTATGCAGCCTCATGAATTGCAACCGACTGCATATCGGGCTGGAGGAACAACTTCATCGTGTTGGAGTTCATCGCACGCTTCTTCGAGAAGATTTCACTGATCCGGTTCATGATTCCCTCTGGCATCTCGCCCAATTCATCAATGTCTTCGGAATGTTTGGCGAGCTTCTCAATGCACAGCTGTTGTAGCGTCTTGGGTCCGCGCACAGTCATACCATCGAGGCGGTTGCTCTCAATCTTCCTTCGGCCCTTGCGCACGACAGGCTTAGCTGCCTTCTTCTCTGCCTTTGCATCTTTCACCATCTCTTTTCCACACGGTGTACAAAGAAGTCCACCTTCTGGACCCGCCTTGCTGTACGGTGTGACGGTAAAACGCTTATTACAAATCTCGCAGTTCTCCAGCTGTCCAGGAAGCGGCTTAGCCTTCTTGTACATATCCATGACGTCCTCAAAGTCAGAATCGTCCTCTGAGCCCTTCTTCTTTTTCTTTGACGCTTTCTTGGCCGCCTTGCCTTTCTTTATCTTCGCTATGGCCTCTTCCTGATTGCGTTTACGTTTACGGGAGCGTTCAGCTGCCATCGCAGAGGACTCTGCTTGCAGGTCTTCTTCGACATCTTCGCCCTCTTCACCAGCATTGGACGGTCCTTCGCCATTGTCTTCTGCTTCTCCGGCGTCTTGCTCTGCTTGTCGAACACGTTGTTGGTACGAGTCACGGATCTCTGCGGCGGAAATGTTGTTCGCCTGGAATTTCCTGATTAGCAAATATCCTTTCCAAGTACCATCTAACGTGAAGTTTGCGCCACCGCTATTGCGCTGGCACAGCAGCCTTCGACCTTGAAATCGCAGAGCGCAGATGCTGTATAGCCTGGTCGCAAGGATATGAGCTACTCACCGCCAGAAAGTCTGTCAGCGCAGAATGTGGCCCTCGAATACCTGCACCTCTGCCTGCGCCTCTAGGTCGTCGTCCGGTCCTGTCGCCACTCGTCAGTATTGCGCGCTCTGTCACTTGAATTCCTAAACTTTGACTTACATGATTTCTGTATTCTTATTCTGTCAGGTTTGCGATTTTGAAGAGAGCAAATTGATCGAAAAGTTTGCGGAGGAACAGTTGTGCTGATTGAGTCTGCTTGGGGTGAGTGGGGTGAGACATCGATAGGAAGGCGCGTCGGGGTCCGGGCATCCGCAGTCGCGCAGTCACGTGGTGGCAATTGGTTGCTTGTTCCGGATTAGTCTACCCCTGACAAGTCTCTCACTCTCACCCTCGCAGGTATGGAGCTGATTGTAACGCCATCGGTTGAAAATTTGAACTTTTGGTAAGACTAAGAAGGCCCCGTCAATTTCCATTAGGAAACTTCCCAGCCATATGGTCGCAAGTCATCCCAGTAAAACAAAATAAATCCCAAATGCCTACCCATCCCAAAGTTCCAAGCCTTGCTGAATCCGACCGCTTGCTTGATTTTGTATCCTTCATCTCTAGCTTCCCTGTTCACACAAGGGAAGTATTTAACTAGATGATAGTATCGTCATCACTGTCATCATCGTCATCTTCATCATTCTCCTCTTCATCGTCATCAGAATCCCAAGCACCAAGGTCAGAGCCAGTCTGTCGAGCAATGTCACCCATAGGCATCTATAATACGGTCAGCATGGGTGTTGGCTACGCACAAAGGTAATTCCGTTTTCGTAGGACGGGATCCCTTCACATCGTGCTATTGAGACAAACATACCATAGGAGGGCCTCGAGGAGCAGCACGGATCTTAGCCCATCCACTGGGACGAACATCGGAAATATCGGAGTGTTCAGCTACGCTGGAAGCGAAGGAGAGATCAGAACCGGTGACTGAAGAAGCGGGACGACGGTAAGCATTAGGGTTGAAGCCAGAGCTCGTGCTGGGAGCTGCATTGGACTTGGTGTGCCATAATTTGGTGCGTTGTTCGCTCCAGCCGCCGTCGCTGTTGCCCTTTCCATGACCAGCAGCAGCAGCGTATGTGTACTCGGTCTCAATCAGGCTCTCGTCCGCTGAACCAGCCATGGACATAGCCTCTTGAAAGTCAGCCGACAATGCGATACCTCCGTCTGCCATCTCTTTGTGTTTAGGGCGCCGATCTCCACCGTTGACGGTCTGCCATTCGTCGTCGCCCTTTGGAAGTCAGTACAAAGGCCACTATGTAGCTAAACGTGCCGACGCCGTATATAGGTCATGCAAGAACTCACGTAGTTGGAAGAAGTGTCAGTTGTAGCCGAGGAGAAGTACTCGGGATACTGGCCGTTAGAGTGGTCCGCCGGAAGGAAAGCGTTCTCCAAGTTCTCATAGCGGTCTTCGTCAACGGCTTCGTCCGTCAGCTGAGCTTCGATACACTTGAAGCATTTGGCAGTATCGGGCTTTGCACGCTGCGATTTGGCAAACTCTTCCAGGCCTTTAGTTTTACCGCACATGGTGCACTCGACCTCGACCTTCTGCTGCCCAGTACATGCCTGACAATTGATAGCCTTGTAAATCTTGGCCGAGTTCTTGATTTGCCAACGCGCATCGGTGAGCTGCTTGGTAGAGTACTTGGCTTGTGGGAGGTTCTTCTGACACCGACCGCATTTGATCTTGATAGGGAGCGGGATGCCCTTGAGCCTGTGAGAGTAGTCAGCAGCGGATCCGTCAAGATGCAAGTGTCAGTGAGCAGTTACAACGTCTATGTGACGATGACAATCATCGCCCACTGAGATCGGTTGCACGTACCTGTCGATCTCGTCTTGATTGTATGCGTGCATATTGCGGCTGCCTCCCATTGTGAGCCACTGGTGTTGTAGACGAGTGAGGAGTTGTGATAAGATTGAAGCTGAGATGATCCTAACGAGAGTCTTTGTACAGATGCGAGGACCAGCTTGTGGTGTCTCAATGGAGACTATTAACGTATGTGTTTTGTTTGGGCCAAAACAAGGTGAAGGCAGGCACGAGTGAGAGAAGCTGCAGCCCTCCCAGACATGACATGTGATAATGCGATCTCGGCGGTGAGCTTGTCTCGGTGTATGGAAAGACCTCCCGGTTCGATACCAGTATCTAGCATCTTGCATTCCAATGTCGTCGCAGCGCCTGGTTTTACTGGTAGTCATGACGCACTCAGCCCGGAGAGGCCAGAATCGTCTATGCCGTCCAATCTTGAAGCGTCTCAACATTACTATGATACGAATTGAAGATTACTGGAGGGTTCAAACCATTTTCTCAAAACTGTTAGCAATAAATACCCATTTTCAGAGAAGTGCCGAGTTCCGCTTGTGTATACCATGAGCGGATTTCATCAACCTTTGTAGCTGTTTGTTATACTTTCACATTGAGAATGTGTTTAGGGCCATCATATGGACGGCAGGTGTGATTATTTTATTTCCATAGCGACTGCTCCTGATTTATATAGCAGGGATTCGCAGAACGTGCCTCCATGACTACATCTAATCATCACCACCGCCGATCGGGCCGCTCACTTGCTTGGCCGACTTCGCAGCGACGATATCGTCAACCCTGAGCAGTAGGCAAGCGCTCTCAACAGCAGTCTTGACACTCTGTTCCTTGACCGCTAGAGGCTCCCATACGTTGTATGACTTCATGTCGACAACCTTTCCTGCATCACCGTCGATACCCCATGTGCTGCCACCGTGCTTGCCGTCTTCGTAGCCCTCTGCGTGCTTCGCGCGCAGTTGGGTGAGCACCTTGATCGGGCTGTTTCCTGAGTTCTGAATGAGCGTGCGTGGGATGACCTCCATGGCTTCGGCGACGGCCTTGTATGGCCACTGTGCGACACCCTCAATCAACTTGCCACGCTGGCCCAGACCAACCGCGACGGCCATCTCAGTTGCACCACCACCGGGGCAGAGCTTAGGGTTCCAGATAACGTTCCTGGCAACACCCATGGCGTCGTGTAGATTCCGTTCAATCTCGTTCAGGATGTCTTTTGAGGGTCCACGGAGGAGGATGGTGCATGCCTTCGGGTTCTTGCACTTTGTGAGGAAGGTAAAGTATTCGTCACCGATCTTAGAGATCTCGAAAAGACCACACTCTGTACCAATGTCCGAAGCGGTGGCGGAGAATACGGAGTTTACGATTGTCGCACCTGTCGCACGGGCGATACGGTTGTTGTCGGTCTTACGAACTCGGCGGATGGCGGTGATGTCGGCTTTGACGAGGTAGTGCTGTGCAAGATCTAATCCATGTTAGCATGATTGCGACAAAGCATGACCAGCGTGACTTGCCGCTGACGCCCTTCTCGGTAATGACAAGATCGGGCTTGAGAGCGATGATGGCATCGCACATTTGCTTAACTTGCTCCTCTTCGATTTGAAGGATCCTGTTCCAGTCCTCCTCTTTGCTAACCTCAATGTTTGTCTGACTCTCTCCCTTCTTGTATTCTAGTGTGCAGTCCAACAGCAAAACCTTGGGGTTCTCGATTCTCCGCCTCATCTTGGGGTGTGTAATGTCCTTGTTGACCATGACTCCGTCTAGAACTTCGCTGTCCTCGATCTCACCTCCGGGGATCTTCTCGATACGTGCGTAGCGCTTGATGTCGACCTCCTTCTTGCCAGAGCCAATGTCGAGGGAAACGGTCCGCACCGCCTTCAAAGCCAGTCCGCACATGAGTTCCGACCACCGCGTTACGAACTTTGTGCCGATCGAAGAGCTAATGATCTTGTACATCTGCTCGTCGTTGTTGACGTCGACTTCGACCGCGATCTCGCTGATGATTTCGAGAGCATCGGCGAGTGCCTTCTTGAACGCTTGGATAATGACGACGGGGTGGATGTTGCGCTCAAGCTGGGGCAGAGCTTGTGCGAGGATTTCTCCCGCTGTTGATTGTTAATCCATGCCTCTTCTCTCCCTCCCACACTTTGTACGCACCTAATATGATGACGGTGGTTGTGCCATCGCCGACCTCCTCGTCTTGTGTCCTGCTCAACTCAATCATGCTCTTGGCAGCTGGATGTGCGACTTCGATTTCTCGGAGGATAGCGTGGCCGTCGTTGGTGAGGACGATACCGCCCATGGGATCGAGCAGCATCTTCAACATGGCCTTGGGACCGAGGCATGATCTGATAATGTCGGCGACAGTCTTAGCTGCTGTGATGTTGGATAGTTGAGCTTTGCGGCCAAACTGGCGCTCCCCACCCGGGGTCTGGGTGTCTGTTGATGTGTTAGTGGGCTGCCGCAGCTTCAGATCGGTGGCTAAACATACTCATAACAACCACTGGCGCCTGCATCTTGAAGGAAGGCGTCTCAAAGCACGGTGTACAAGGAAGAGGGGGTCGAAAACAGAGTTGCGTGGGGTATCTTGCGTCTGGTGCCTTGCAGCTCCTCCACTAACTTTTGCTACCAAAAACCGCGTCGCAGCGCCGCCACTATCCCGGCACGGATTATCTGCGACCGGTACTAGCCACAGTTGAGCCACTTGTCTGCAGCCAATGCTGAGTCATGCTCTCCAGCTCGATCGACGGCAACTTCCACCTACACCCTGGTCGTCCCTGCCTTACACAGCGCCTTGGCGCCTGCCGCATGCGGTAGCCAGACCTCGCGTGACGGCCAATACGCGCTAGACTTGCCCTGGAGATCTCTCGCCGGACTATTTTACCCTACATTCTGCCGCCGCTCACCGCGTCGCAGCCAGCCTCTCACGGGACTTGCGCGCAGCTTACAAGACGGCTGTGGTGCCCTCCAAACCTTCCTTCCTTCCTCTCACTTCTTTTTGCGCCAAACTTCCGCACACAGCCTTTCTTCTGTTCTTTAACTTGAACACTCCCACACCTCGATCGGTTTCCTTCATCTTACCACCCCCATCACCACATCCATCACCCATCATCTCCATCGCGCCTCACCATCTCGCCATCATCTTACCCCCATCGCTGTCCCTCCTGGTGACTTCATTAGAACGTCGCATGCTCACTGTCTTGTCTTGATCACGACAGATCTTTGTATCCTTCACACACTCTATTGTTACTAAACTACTAAACACACAGCATGGGTCTTAACTACTACGCTTCTGCGCCGACCGTCGTTCTGGCGCCCCAGCAACCGCAGGGCTACTTCTCCCATCACCAGAACGCCGCATCACCAATGGGTAATTTCCGCCCCAAATACCCTACTCCGCCTTCGCTCAACTATTTAGCCGCCGTTTCCAATGCCACCGCTGGTCGCAAACGATCCATCGCCGACGTCGATGAACCAGAGGAGAACCTACCCGCCGGATCAATCGTTACTAAGTCGCCTTCAAAGCCCAAGCCCGAGCCTGTCTATGGCCCAGGGATGACGCTCATCTACCCTGGAGAACCTGGCTACAGTATGGCAGCTGAGTCGCAATCGGGCACCTGGTACGAAGAGAAGATTGAGAAAGAAGAGAAAGCTGACGCCGCTCGCCCTATCGCTGTGTCGCGCAAGTCGGTACGGATGAGCCCAACCGCCAACATCGAAGTCCCCTCCCTCAATGACATGGATGCTCAAAAGACCGAAGAGCTCATTGACGACAAAGGCAACACCATCAACACGCTCATCGCATCCCTCGGGGTTGGCTGGAAGAACGTCATGACAAACCCCAACCTACGCGACGCAGCGCGCGCATACTCGCGCGTCATTGAGCGTCATTTCGATTTCACCGATGTCCTTGTTATGCTGGAGAAGGAATCACTCAACGCTTATCTGGTACGCGCGAAACAACACGGCGTACAAGGCTACTGGCTCTTCTCGGACAACCTTCAATGGTGTCAGCTCATCGGCTGGTCGTTAGAACGCACAGTCAGCAACCTCATGTTCGGTTCAACCCCGCGTGTCGAGGGCGAGCGCATCAACGCCCGTCAACTGACGCCATCGGAACCCGCTACTACACCGACTCCTCAACCAGTGGCCGACATTCCTATGGCGACTGCAGACACCGACATGATGGAGATGTGACGCGTCTCATCTCCTCTTTTCTCTTCCTTCCCATTTTCCTTACGGCAACAAAACACAAATCGGTTTTCATTTCGGCTGTATTGATTTACGGTTTTCGATGGCGGGTTCTTTCTACGGCGAATCGGCGTTGGTGGTGGGATCGGATTGATCACCGGAAGTGACTCTATCTGACATGTACTATATTATTATGATGCCTACGCCGTGATGCTTGATCAGACATACTCGATCGCGTCTGCTAGCACGTGCCACTAAACTTACCAGGCAATAAACCAATGAAACTATGATCATCAATCATCTACTTTCCTGCACATGCTGGTCTTGAATTTAATTCCACCAAAATCTGACTACACATTTACTTCTCTCCTACCCGAAAACTCGAACCACGTCCACTGGTAATTTTGGCGCTATGTGGGAAGCTGACCTACAGTGCTTCTCATTCTTGCTTCGCAAAGTAAACACACCACTAATGGAAGCCATGCCAGGCACGCAATTTTCCAGACTTCTATTTTCAGTCGGATCTAGACTCGTTTAACACGATCAAACGCGCTTCCGCGGTGACACAACCAGAGCACTGAGAAGCGACTGCCCCGAGCGACTGCCCCAAGCGTCGGCCGGAACAACCGCTCCTCAGCAACGCGAACATGTCGCGCGGACGACGCGGCATCGCGTTTCCCGGACAGCAACCTCTTCCCAACACGATTCTGACTCGTACGAACGGTGTGAATGATCCAAATTACCTGGCCTCCATCTGTGCGCATGGCTGTCAGCAATGCGAGCTTTGGCACACCACCCAGGATGCCTGTTTCACCACCCGCTGAAGGCTGACACGTGACTACCCTTCTTTCGGGAGGATTCTTTCTGGCTTTCCCGAGGTTTTCCGCACTTGACGAAATCACAGCTTCGAGCTAGCTCATTCTGCAGCTTTACGACATAATAACCCCTCCTGCGGTCCTCGGAAAATACGAGGACCACTCAGGCAGAATCGCACGTACACGAACGCTCCAAATGAAGTTGAGCGAGCGCATCCAAATCCATTACAACCATACCGTTCCCCAAAGCACAAAACCAATGACCGTTGTCCCATAAATCACGGGTTCCGGCAGCCCCAGGGACACTCCGTATTCGCGCATTCCTGACCTTCCAGTGACTTCAACGAATCTACAAAATACTCATTGTTCTCGCTGCATTACTGTTTGGGTTATCGCTAGCCGTGCTGTATCTTATTGAGTTTGACCCAACAAAATCGAGTCTCCACAGCGTCGCAGAAGGACTACTTTGTAGCTCAGCATTGAACTCTGTGACGTCGGCCACGGTCTCAACAGTGCTTCTCTTCAAGTTTGAAGGCCAGGAAACAGCGACACGGAAGGATTGGTGATAGCGTGGACATCGTTGGTATTATTGAATCTTGCCATTGTGGAGTTTCTAGTTTCTATTCGGCTTGGTACTATGTTACTATGGTACTCTGGCAAGAACGACGTATGGAGAGCTGCTTTAACCAGCTCTCAATTGGCTTTCATCCTGGGATTCTGTGTATCTTTATCTCACTATATCCGGGACATCGTGCGGAGTGAAGGGGAACTGGGTATAGATGAGATAAAGGTAAACATTGGGGGAAGGCGGAGCGCGGATAGTTGAGGGGTTCTGAGAAACCTATAAAGAGAGAGAGAGAGAGGAAGGGGTTTTGAAGCCACGGACTGGGGACTTAATGAACAAAATGCTCTGGAGCCTCTTAGGGGCTGTCAACCCTCATACAGCAGGCATCATGAATATAGTTTTCCCCCGTTGTACAAAAGCCTGGTGTCCGCTAGCTGTTCTTGAAGTTCCCTTCTAAATGATCATCATAGGGCTTGTGCGCCTATGAACATCAGACATTTGAAACGGGGTGGCTGTAGATTGCTTTTGCCGGAAGGCTCTCTGCGGTTGTGCCGAGGCTCGCAACACCCAACGAAAAGAAACTGAGAGCCAGCTTGTTATGCTGTACCACGACACCGGAACACGATAGGTATACCTTAGGATCGCGCACACCTGTAGAGCTCCAAAGAGCGCCCAGGGAATATCTTACGCATGCATGGACGCGTGGTGGAACCTAAATCGCCCTCAAACAATGGCCCCCAAAGTGGCGTAGAGGCGCCTGCAAGAAACCCACCTGGGCAGAGCTGAGTGTAACCAAGATGGACGATCATTCGCATAGCACTGTACGCCTCCCCAGGTTGCTAAACGTTGCCCATTTGGATTTCAATCATTCCTATTGCTTCAGTATTCGCAATGCCTCGTTTCATTTGGACCCTATTGCCTGCTAAGAAACAACCAATAACGCATCAGTACCGGGACAATGATGGCAGCCTCGAGATGCAGGTTCCGCTTACAATCCGGAGTGATAAGAATGAAACTCCTTCTCACACCCGCCCGAGGACAATGTCGATACTTGGACTACCTCAGCGTGTCGCGGAGAAGTACTTAGGGCCTCGTTTCACTGGATGGCGGTTTGGCGTGCTGCACTTCGCGGTGTGGGCTTCTGTGGTCTTTCTTATTAACCTCATCGTCATGATATGGGGTATGGTTGCTACTTCTGGAGCTAAAGGTGTCTTCTATGATGGAGACTGCGATCGTGTTAAAAAGCTTAATACTGGACTCCATCTTCTCATTAATATCTTTAGTACAATCCTTCTGGCTGGGAGTAATTATACAATGCAGTGCTTGTCTGCACCAACGCGACGCGAGATTGATTCCGCCCACAGTCGCCAGCCTGGCATGTACCTCGACATTGGCGTACCGGGTATACGCAACATCGGATATATCAGTCGACGCCGAGCTGTTCTATGGGTGGTCTTAGGACTTTCATCCTTGCCATTGCATCTCTTGTAAGTTCGCAGCTTATCTTGTCATTGTCTAAACTCATATGTGCCAGCTACAACTCTGCGGTATTTGGTTCAATCTCATCGAACGACTATATGGTGTTTTCTGTCGACGAAGCCTTCGTGAATGACAAAACTTGCACGAATTGTTTTAATGAAGTCAAGCAAGAAAAGTCCACCATGGCTAGATTTACCGATGGAACACTGAGGAGCACGGAAAGTCTCTATGGGTCTGGCGAAGTGATTGGATCTACACTCGAGAGCCTCTGGAGCAAAGCACGCAGTGGCAAACTTGACAGACTCGAGCCTGCCACATGCATCGACGAATATGCCACCAGCATACAGTCCAACCGAAAGAATTTACTCATTGTATCCGGCGGTAATGGCGGTAATGAGCCTCGCTCGCAATACAATTTCATCAATGGATCTTACGTCTATTGGGCTGACCAGTTCGATGTCTGTGCTGCGGCGGATCTTGAATTCAGCCGTGCATTCCAGTGGATATGCTCAGGCTCGGACGATCCAAACACGGAGTGTTCTTCCGTAGTTGACCGAATGAGGAACCAGCCATCGTGGCAAGTTGGATGGCGATGCGACGGAAATGGTGTCTGCGACTTCTTACGCTCGCCGGTGAAATACTGTCTCAGTGAGTCGGCTCAACCGCACTGTAAGCTTCATTTTGAACCGACCATTGCAACAATCATCACTGTGCTCAATCTTGGTAAGTTCAGGTCATGCTCTACACCCTAGTCCGGTTACGGTAGCGCGGAACATACAGGTATCTCCTGTAAAGCAACGTCGAGCCTTTTCTAATACTGTCGATAGTCAAAGCTGGCTTGATGTACTATATCGCATTTCACATTCACGATGAGCCGCTTATGACCATGGGCGACGCCGTCGCGTCCTTTCTGGAAAAGGAGGACAGTACTACTAAAGATATGTGTTCGTCTACTCTGGAGGACTTCAGAAACCGCAGAGGTTTTCTCGTGCAACGACGACAGTGGAGTGACAAAAGACATCGCTGGAAGGACGTGACGAATAGGTCGGGACGATTCATCACTGTATTCATGTAGGTCACCCTGCCCGTCACCCTGCCCGTGATGGAACATCTGTCCAGTCTACTTACATTGCCGCTCAGATTCCTGATAACAATTATTGCCATCAGCCTGCTGCTCAAGATGGGAATCGATCACTTGCCCAATGGGGCAACATTCGACCAGTTTGCATTTGGTACGTTGATAATGGCTTCTCGATTGGAGGTAGAATACGGAGCTGATTGCATACAACTCTTTCTAGGCGCTGTTGACCCCCGCACATATATCAGTAACATGCCACGAGATGTAATCACCAACGCCGTTATCGCCAACACGCCACAACTATTTCTCTCCTTTCTATACTTTTCTTACAATGCCCTCTTCACCGCTATGTTGATGGGCTACGAATGGTTGTCTTATTCACGCAAGCGTAAAGGCCTTCGCGTGAGTCGTCAACCTTCCGGTGCTCAGCGGTCTACGTACTTCCTTCAATTACCTTATCGATTCGGTATACCCCTTATGGTGCTTAGTGGTACGCTACACTGGTTGGTTTCGCAAAGTATCTTCCTGGTCGCCATCGACTTCTACGATACATTTGGAAACCCAGGATCAGCTTGGTCGTGCGGACTCGGTTATAAAACACTGGGCTATTCGCCACCAGCCATGGCTTCTGTGATAGTGCTGGCTGGAATTATGGTCATTAGCATAATTGCTTTTGGGTACATACCATATAAGCGTGGTATGCCGCTTGCAGGGACCTGCAGTATGGCCATCAGCGCAGCCTGTCATCCGGCAGTACGAGTTGAAGATGGTAACAGTATTGCCGAGCAAAAGTTAAAATGGGGCGTAGTCAGTACTGGTGTTGATGGGTTGGGGCATTGCGCCTTCTCAGCAGGAAACGTGGGAGCGATAGTGAAAGGTAGACTATACGGCGGGATCTCTACATAGGTCGGATTCTGAGACCGCACGGCGCAAAAACACCTATCGCAGCCAGCGAATGCCCATCTGTTTACGATGACCAGCAGATGCGATTCTATCTAAATATCAGTTGTGATGAGACTTGTGCCATATCGAGAGACTGCGACTGGCTGTGCAACGCGACTAACACCCCACAATCATGTCCCATTGACGGTTCCAACTTACTCAAGATCAGGAAGATATCAGTGAATCAAGAATGAACACAGTCCTGCTTAGGAGCGCTGCGTAGACAAAGCTTAGAATGGATATCGATGCAGATGACCGCAGCCCCAACCTGACCAATCAGCGGCAGAGTTCCGCTCTGGACGAAATAGGGTTATTTGGGCGGAACTCACCTTCGGTGTATTTCTCAGCACCAACAGGTCATCGATCTCTGGATCACCTTAACGTTACGTGGCCGGATATGTCCTGCAGGTGATTACCACGAGAGCTACAGGATGTGATACCTGGACTACAACGGGGCGTATATGAACCGTGATGACTGTCAGCCGTAGCTGCACGCCCTCATTTGACTCGATGAGCTCGCCAGATTCGCTGTTGTCGAATTTAAATCCAACCTTACCACTACCCTGAAACGAGCGAAAGACAGACACTATGAGTGTCACCCCCATTGCTGTCACCGGAGCGAGCGGTGGTGTTGGTGGATTCGTTGCGCGCAACATCGCCGCCCGCCAGCTCCCCCAGCGGCTCCTGGTCCGCACTCCCAGCAGGGCGCCGAAACTACCTCACAGCGAGGTACACCAGGCCAGCTACAGCGACCATGCCGCCGCCAGCGCAGCACTGAAGGGCGTACACACGCTCTTAATGGTCTCAGCCTCCGAGAGCGATGAACGTCTCAACCAACACCGCTCCTTCGTCGATGCCGCCGCGACAGCCGGCGTACAGCACATCGTCTACACCTCCTACATAGCCGCTGCACCAGATGCCATCTTCACGCTCGCACGCGACCACTACGTAACGGAGGAATATATCAAGGCTAGCGGCATGCGCTGGACCTTTCTGCGCGACAATTCCTATATCGACTTTATGGAATCCCTAGTCGGCGCAGACGGTGTCATTCGCGGCCCGGCAGGCAGCGGTCGCGTCTCGATCGTCGCCCGCGTGGACGTTGCTCGCCTTGCCGCCGCTGTGCTCGCCGACCCCGATCAGCACGCTGGAGTTACATATGATGTCACTGGTCGCGAGGCACTGTCCATGTCGGATATCGCTGAGATTATTAGCGCAGTTCGCGGTCGCGACGTACGGTTCCACAATGAGACCGTCGAAGAGGCTTATGCGTCGCGCGCAAACTACGGTGTACCAGACTGGCAGGTTGACGCCTGGGTCAGCACATACGTTGCCATTGAGAGCAACGTTATGGCGCCTGTCTCCAACGCAATCCAATCCGTTACTGGCTGCGCGCCGATGACGCTTGCTGAGTACTTGATTGCCAAACCTTGATAAAGCAACGCTAGTTGCAATTTGAACAGGCATTTGCGACGCTGCACTGCAGCAGCATGTATGCAGTCAATGATAAGACACTACAATATGACTGATATTCCGAGAAGAAGCTCGTTCTTCCTGAGCTCTATTGTTACTGGAGCTTACGCTAGGAAAATACGAACTGGAATTCCTATGCATATCATGATAGATGATCCTAGGTACGGCTTCGAGGTGAAGCAAAACTCAGGTACAACGAGCTCATGCAGCATTGTGCGAGCCTTGCCTAGTCCAATCAAGCGCGCTAGCGAGGCAACGCTGTTGCCTAAACATTGACACTTCTCCAGACTCAGCCTTAGCACTTGTAACCTCTCCATCTTTCCATCGCTACTATGCTCACTTATCGATACCAACCATTAGAACATGATGACTCTTTTCGGATCCTCGTTATATTTCCAAGTCTGGATAGTTCAGACCCAATCAGATGCACGATTGCGCACGCGCAATTGTCTGACGAGTCTTTCGAATACGAAGCAGTGTCCTACACTTGGGGCGACGCCACTGAAACGCAGACAATTTACTTCCCCTCCGCGGAACTGAATGTCGGGCGAAGTTGTTACAACGCGCTTCGGCGCTTGCGATGCAAACACCAAGACTGTTTGCTGTGGATCGACGCTATCTGCATCGATCAGAACAATCTCCAGGAGCGAGCCTGTCAAGTTCGTATGATGGAAAAGATCTATAATCGCGCATCTACAGTGTTGGTGATCTTACAGGAACCGAATGCGAACAGCGATGCGCTGTTTGAACAGCTAAAGATTGGGGACGAAATGATATCGCTTGTAGGACGCTGGGTTCGAGATCCACCAAGTGATCACATCCTCAAATTGCTAGAAGATTTGTGGCGAGATCCATGGTTTACAAGAGTTTGGGTTCTACAAGAAGTCTTTGCCAAAACCACTGTCTATTTCATCTCCGGCTCCACCTGCTTCTCATACGACAGTCTGGCGCAACTATATACATGTTACGGTGGGACTATAACAACTAGGACTTACTGCCCCCGAGCCCTTCAGTGGATAAGACTGCCACCAGGAAACTTTTCAACACCGCAGTTCAACTTGTGGTACTTGCTAAGCGAGACGAGGGATTACCTGGCGACCGATGCCAAAGATAGAGTTTTCGCTCTGAAGTCGATGTTAGGCTCCGCACAATCAGAGATGGATTACTTGATCGACTACACGCACAGCTTGGAGGAGTGTTATAAACGTGTCGCCATGTTTCTATTACCTGTGCTCGGGCTTCGATTACTCACGGCCGTCCGGCACACACACGACAAGAAGATGCCTTCATGGATCCCGGATTGGTCCCAGAACCTCCCAATACACCCAACATATCCTGAAGATGAAGATAAGCTGGGTACTTCTGATGAACAAAAATATACAATACGCTCTTCCTTACCCAATAGTAACGGTACCGATATGGAACTACTTGTCACGGGTTGTTGTTATGCGCGAATAGTCGAAAAAAGCCAGTCTTTCTATTTCATTGATGTAGACGACGCTGAACGACAAATGAAGAAACTGTACTACAGCATCATCCCCAGACATGACGTCGACCCAGAAGATATGCAGGATGATCCTACTGTGCTTGCCCATTTAGGGACAACTGTCTCAGATGGTAAGCCCAAATTCTGCAAATTATACGTGCAGAATTAATTGAGTGGTAGCTATGTCGTCTATGGATAGCGGGCAGCTTCATACATTCCTGACTCGCTTTGGTGCAATACATCTGGGGGTACGTCAACTTCCCCTCGTTACTTGATAAACTTCTTATCTAACGGCAAAAGGATCGCCACAGCTTTGCTCGTGAAGAGATTGATGCATTTTCAAACTCACTTCAGCAATGCAGAATAGGCCTGATGGATAACGGCGAGTTGGTCATCGTGCCGGAAGCTATACGATATGGAGATGTCATCGTCATTATATCAGGAGCTATAGTAGCTTGCGCTTTACGATGTTCTTCGGATGGGAGCTGGGCACTCATAAGCGGTGACTGCCAGATGTCCACAGAAAAGTTCAGGAGTCAACGAGACAGGTCTTATTTTATGTGCGACGAATACGTTGCATGCCATCAGGATAGACTAGAAGACTTCAGGCTGCGTTGATGTATTCATATCTACCAACAACCATTTCAATTGACAGAGCTCTCCGCGTTGGTATGGGAATAGAGAATTCCAGTCTTCACGCTGATAAAGTAAGCATCGAAAGATGGAAAAGTGTAGCAAGGATTACTTCCATCGGCTGATCCTTCCCAACAAGACACCATTTCGCCACAGTCACGTAGCGAACAACAACTATCATGTATCGACCGTGGTGCACCCGAGATCTCGGCGTCCAATAGAAACGCCGCGCATAAATGATCCAACGAGCATGCGGTAGCGTCCTGCTATGTTTTCGCCACCACGGCTGCCTAGTCATGATGCCCATGGAGGAAATAAGAACGCCAACTTAAACGAAGCCAACACTCCTCAGCATCGCACGAGTATCAAAGAACTCTGGAACAGAGATAAATTAAATCCAAAATGTCGCTATGCAATCTTTGCCAGTCGTTCGACATCCTCGACTTACCAAACTTATCGCCAAACTACACTGTCTACCCCGTAACCTCCAAAGCATATCCTCCCCTGGTCTCCAACATTCACAAGCTTCGGATCGGCGGATGGAAGAAGGATAGAGATGACTCGAAACATGACTCTGAACCTCTGGGACTGCCTTACCACCAGTCCATTGAGGCACTAGAAGCCGCTCGCGCGAACAACTGCGCGATCTGCACAGTCGTACAACGCGATGTCGCGCAATTCAAAACGGAGTTTTTGGAGGCGAAGAAAGATGCTAGTGCTTATAGGGAGAGGAGCGGAGGTCCAGATTGGAGGATGTTCGCCGTGAGGGGTGTCGGTGAGACTGGAGGCTTCATGATAGTGTCGGCTGATACGAAAGCACCGTTTGAGATCTGGGTTGTTGCTGCCGTCGGGTTTTGTGTTGACTGTAAGCTCTGTACAAGCTTGTGACATGGTCGAAGCGAGCTGACAGTCTTACAGATAAGGACCCGCTCACCAGCATCATCAGGGGACGAAAGATCCTCTCCGACTCTCAGCACACGCTTCAGCATGCTCTGAGTTGGGTGTGCGATTGCGATAAACAGCGGACGGATAGCCGCTGTCATGTTGATGCTGCACCCCTTCCAGCTCGCGTACTAGATATAAGAAGCTCGGCATCCCACAAGGCATCCTTGTATGAGCCCGCGGAGGGAGAGCTAGGACGCTATGCAGCACTGAGCTATGTCTGGGGCGAATCAAGCATGTTCACAACTACGAAAGCAAACATCGAAGCAAACAAGGAGGGCATCGATATCGACAAGCTACCTGAGACGTTTCAGGATGCCATATTCGTGGCAAGAGAAATGGGAATCGGATACTTATGGGTTGACTCACTCTGGTAAGTCAGACTTCTATCTTTGTATCGCCAGCATTGAACTAACAACCCCAGTATCTGCCAAGACGACTCTTCAGACTGGTCCCGCGAGACCTCCCGGATGTCTTCAGTCTACTCAAAGGCCTATATAATGCTCTCAGCAACAGGTTCTGCTTCGTCTAACGCCGGTCTATCAATATTCTCTCCCACCCGCCCAGCACCAACTTACTCATCCTTTCCCTACACTTCCACAGAGGGTACTAAAGGAACTCTGCTCGTATTCTCCTATTCTAAGGAGGTTACTAGATTCCCTGCCTGGTCAGGTCCTTACGAACTACTCAAGAACGAGCCATTGACCCAACGAGGTTGGGCACTCCAGGAACGCTGGCTTGCACCTCGCATTCTGCACTTTGGAAGCAAGGAGATGTTCTTCGAATGTTACTGTGGGTTCAAGGGTGAGAGCGGTTTCTTGATGGAGGGCAGGAAGGATACGCTCTTCCCAACCACTCCTCCTGGCTCTTCTCCGGCAATCTCAATCGATACCATCTCCGACGAGATCGATTCCGCAGAACCAGAGCCCATGGAACGCCAATGGAACTCCGTACTATCTGACTACAAAAAACGCCAACTAACAAAGGCCTCGGACAAGCTCCCTGCCCTCTCTGGTCTCGCCCGCACCTACCAGGACATCACGGGCGACACATACCTCGCCGGTCACTGGCGCTCCACACTCCTCCACTCACTTATATGGCAGGCGACCGATCACCCCACCGTCCCAATCACGTACCGCGCCCCATCTTGGTCGTGGGCCACCATCGATGGTTCTTTCGGCATGTTTAGTCCTGGTATGGGGTTTGACAAGGGGGAGTGGGTCAGTCTTGCCACAATACATGCTGCTTGGACCAACTTGAAGAACGAAGAGAACCCTTTCGGCGAGGTGACGGACGGGCAGTTGGATATCAGCGCTCCGCTGGAACGACTTTTCCGCTTTTCGAGCAAAGATGAAGAGGGAGTGGAATGGCCCAAGAACTATAAAGGAGCCAAAGTACGAACACAAAACGCCAATGTGAAGAGCGGCGAGTACAATTATGTAATATTCGATTCTGCAGACCATGCAGAAAGAGCAAAGGGCAGGGAGCTGTGGGTAGCGGTGCTTTTGAAGCATGTTCATGCAGAGGACAATAAGGGAATCTGGGAGTCGAGCGTGTCTTATCATGGGATTGTTGTTGCGGAAATAAAGGGTAAGCAGAATGTATACGAGAGGTTAGGAAAGATTCCTTTTGGTGAGAAAGATTTGGAAGAGTGTGGGTGGATGAGTGATGGAGACTTGGTAGAGAGGTTTACCTTGGTGTAGAAACTTCCAATTGGCCTGGTAATGGTGAAGAAGACGAGGCAATCGATTGTGTAGGTTCCGTTCGATGAACCAATGTTCATAAACCCATCCCCTCTGATGCTTATCAGAGTCAGCTTCGGTCTATTTCCTGGACGGCGGGAGGAGTTCCCCACCCGCTGTGGTACATTGCTGCAGCAATTATTGGTATTTAATAGTGACGAGACGACACAGCTTTCGCCTACTCACCTACAACACCAACACACAGCGTTGTGCCAATGGCCTGTCGGAATCCGATAGCGATGTTCCGCCTATACAAATAACTTACTGCGTCGGCTGCATTGCCTCCATCGCGAAGTAAATCGATGGCAACCTTGCTGCACAACTCAACTCTTGATGTGACTGCGCCATTTGCGCCGATATTCCGTTGGTAACTCTGAACGGCCCAGGGCAATATAGCTAAAACAATTGAGCAAAATCGGTAAGCCATCCGCGGAAGCGCTTCACAAGTAAAACAAAAATGAAGTGCCGTCGTTGGCGATGAGGAATGAGTTCGCGAGTATGCTCGAGGGAATCTGGTGCTCGAACAACGCGCATGACGCGCGGCATGAGTGCACGAGGCGGTATTGACATATCTTATCGATATCCCGGTAGTGCGGGATTCGGCCTTCTGAGTGGAACGTTGTTCAGAGGTGGTTGGCGCTGTCAGCTGTGATCTGATGGCCTACGCGAGCAGCGCTAGGTGCGCCGGTGCGCCCATCGATCGCGGACGCCCCTGGTTTGCGTCCCGCCCCGAGCGGCTGATCCCTTCCACGCTACCATCTAGTTGGCAATCTAGCACAACAAACCACAATTGTCGAAACCACCGCGCAATGGACATCGACAGAGAAATCACGACTTCTTCTGACAGCGGCGACTCAGGGTCCTCGGAGGATCAGCACCCACCGTCCACAGCCTCACGACTCACATTCTACGACGCCTTCACATTACTTGTGAGCATCCAGGTTGGATCTGGCGTGTTCTCCTCTCCATCACAGGTCAACAATCACTCTCCTTCGCCGGGCGCATCGCTTATCATCTGGGCAATATGCGGCGCAGTTGCGTGGGCTGGAGCAGCGTCCTTTGCTGAATTAGGTGCGGCCATGCCTGTGAATGGCGGCCTACAGGAGTACCTCCACGAGATGTACGGCTCTTACATGGCATTTCTTGCATCTTGGATATGGATCTTTGCCATCAGGCCGTCCTCCATGGCCATCTTGAGCATCATATGCGCGAAGTACTGGACCGAGGTTTTTCTGCCAGCCAACGACGAAGAGCCATTCTGGCTAAACAAAATCATAGCCACATCGGCTCTGGCAATGATGATATTCGTTAATTCAATCAGTACCAGAGCAACTTCTCGTCTTGCGAACGTCTTCCTCATCATCAAGTTGCTCACAGTGGCGTTACTATTGGTGTGCTGTCTTGTGTTCATCGTGTTTGGGTTTCACGTAGGGACAGATACGCCCAACCGCGACTGGATCACGAAGAATTGGTTTCAATATCGCAATGAAGGAGAGGACTTTTCGTTCATCGACTGGAACAGTGCTTCTCAATGGAGCAAGATTGGAGAAATCACAATGGCGATCTACGCCGGACTCTGGGCATACGCCGGATGGGACAATGTGAGAGTTATGAAAGGCTTTCAAATCGCGCGCACTGACGAATACTTGTAGGCAAACATTGTAGCGGGCGAGATGCAAGATGCAGCCAAGGACTTGCCTGCCGCGATTCACACAGCGGTCCCAGCTGTCATAGTATGCTTCCTTTGCGCCAACTTGTCCTACTACATCCTGATACCATGGAACGTGATTGGAGCCAGCGACACAGTCGCGGAGGTGAGTGCCTCGAGACTCGTATATTCAGCACATGATCTTCTGATTTAACATACGCCTATGCAGACGGCCGGCCAGAATGTTTTGGGCAGGTCCGGTGCCGTAATTTTTGCTTTGCTCATCTCCGTTGCTTGCCTTGGGTCAATTAACATCAGCGTGTTTACAACTGCGAGACTCACGATCAGTGCAGTGAATAAGGGCTATCTCCCGAAATTACTTTCAGGAAATGGCCACAGCCAGAATGGGCAACCTCAAGATCGTCAGCTACAAGACGCTCCTCGAGATTGTAGCCTGTCTTCAAAGCTATTGAGTCTTTTCGGAGAGGGTCCTTTCTGGCAAACTCCAATGTGAGTACAATGAGCAACCATTTTCATAACAAAGTCTGACTGCCCATAGCAAAGTTATGCTTTTTAATGGTTGCCTCACAATAGTATACATACTAGTTGGTACCTTCAGCGCTCTTGTCACGTTCATAGGTAAGTTTTAACGCTTGCACCGCATTGGGTGTGGATAGAAAGTTATTGACGGATCTTCGAAAACAGGTATAGCGGAGTACGTCTTCTTCTTCTTCGCTGTTTTGGGTCTTCTTCATATGCGTGTGAAGCGACCTCATCTCCATCGACCTTACAAAGCCTTCATCGGCATCCCGCTATCATTTACACTCATCAGCCTTGTTTTGGTAGTTCGAGGAATATTTGCTGCTCCCGCACAAGGAATAGCGATCGCATTGTTGCTATTGTCAGGGACTATCTGGCACTTCAGAGAATCAGACGCCTTCGACATCTTGAGGAGAAGAGTACGATACCAACCCATTCCGGCATAATAAGGTACGATCCGGACAAAGGCTTTGATTACATTGCGGTTGTAACAAAAGACTGATTAAAATCTAGCTCGCATTTGAGGTAATGCCCTTTGATCGGATTATGCCGTAGACCGCCAGAAGATTGCAACAGTTCAAACACTCTCGGCGATCGATTTTGCCTTCCTCAACTTGTTGTGTCTGGTCTTGTACAGGTACCATGCGCCAACGGTGAGCATCGTCAATGGCACGGTCGTTACTATGAAGATCCAGAATTGTGGGCTTGCCCGTAAAGAGCCGTCTTCGCTTTTGAAGTCGAAAAGATTCATGCCGAGGAACGACTAGATACGCAGATTAGAAACTATCAAGCACATATATGAGGATAGAGCAAGCTTACAGCTACGAACGAAGCAGGCAGATATATCAATGTGAACACAGTGATGACCTTGACGGTAGCATTATCGTCGACACCCTCCTGTGTCAAACGCAGTATTCGCGTGCTTATCTCCCTGGAATTTGCCTGATTTCCGATATCGAGAAGATTGGTGAGCTATAGATAAGTCAGTTATCACTTGTGTTTGTGAGTTTGTCTTTCTCACCAAGCCTAATGTTGCTTGTACACGTTGCGCTAGTGTTTCTGCTGCATTGATGTGACTTTCCAAGCGATGCTCCATGATTTGCAATTCCTGATGCACGCTGTACGAGCTTTCTCCTAGAGATGGAATTTTGGTTGCAAATGCTGTGTTGATGCTCATCAAGGTCTTTACGAGGACAATGTTGCTGCGAAGACATTTGCATGCTTTACACACTATCTTGTCTTCGATGTGTCGAAGCGTTTGGAGGCGTTCGGGGTTGATAGCAGGAATCGCATCCGGCTCAGAGATATCGGCCACGTCGATGCGTCGTCGCTGTCGTTTGTGAGCTTTGCCTGTATATGGGTACGATACGCGCTTACAATTTGCTCCAAATCGCTGGCAAGGCTCTCTATATGATCTTGCCAGTTCGCCAGATACGACCAGATGATTATCAAGTGAACGGTCAATGGATGTCGTGTTAACTGTGCTTTATGCGAAGACTCCGCCATAGCTTCTAGTTTTGACTGCGCCACCGCATCATCGCTGGGATGAATTATAACAATCTGGCTACTACAACTTTCGAATGAGAATTTATGCATAACACCCGTTTGTCTGAATGACCAAGTATCTCGTGGCGGTCGCCTCCCATTCCGTTCGACGTACATGAACTGGTAACATAACTCTGTTATGGAGCTTCATTAGCACAGTTCCCACGAACCATGACACAGGGTATCGGGAGAGCTCACCAAACGACTGATCCCTCGATTGACACAACTGCCGAAACCCTGAAGACTCCTGAAAAACCTGGGGCTGATCACCGAACTTTAGGAGGACATCTACAAACATGCTGGAAATCTGCCACTTTTTTATTACTGTCAGCATCGCTTCCTTGGAGCACATCAACGGCGACAACGAGAACTCTTGGCAAAAGGAACTATGCTTCGCGTTAGCTTCTTGTGATTCCGGTGTTCGGGCACGTACAGAATCCGGAAACCATCGCCGCTAGTTTTCTGCAGGAGTTCCTCAAGCTCGAACAGCGCTTTTGGACGTAAGATTGTATCTTGTTGTCTATCTGCATTTGATGAATATATTTCTCTCAACATAGATATACGCAAGGATATCAGCTTACCCATACGAAAGAGGCGCACGTCGAATGGTCCCATATCGTCAAACAGTTGTTTCTGGTTGGCATATATCCGCTGGAGTGGTACTTCCCAGTCGTCGTAATATGCATTTCTGCTAGCAAAATCCGATGGCAGTTCCATGCCGAGAACGAGTGAAAGCAACTGAACTATCACCGTCTCCGTGGAGGGGCACCCGGAGGCTAATGAGATGAATGCGCCATCCCACAAGGCTGAGGCAGTGTAAGCCTACGCATGCAGCCTCAGCCAATGGACGATTGCGTGATCTTGCCTCCGCGCAAAAGTAACGATATCGCCTTGATTGTTCCTTAGCGAAAGGACAGGCTGACCTGTCACTCGTTCGTGAGTCTGCCTTCCATCCCAAGATCCAGTCAAGAAGACGCAAGATCGCATTTTGTGTACCGTTGTCCTGAGCCTCGAGCAGGACGCGTTTCATAGTTTTCGTCACAAGACTCCACGCCAAAACACGTATCTTGTATAGGACAACACGACTCTCGTAGCCACGATTTACAAGAAGTGTGGTACTCCGGTGAAGGGTTACAAGTTATGATTGGTGAAGTGGACAACATTCAATAGATTACGTAGCTGTCATTGACGTAGCGCCAAGATCTATGACCAGCCCATTCGCTTATTGCTTTAGATCATTCGTTCATCGCTCCTTCTTCTTCAGAGCTCTGCACAAATCAGTTGGAAGTTCGAGTCTCATCGAGAAGGCTCACCGGAGGTCTGCCTTCATATGTCACGTCGTTAGTACTCGTGTTAACAGTTACGGGGGAATGCACACGTCCGTACCTCGGGAATCTCGTCCGGCGCATAGAATTCCCACTTATCACGTTTTTCCTTGGTTACTCAGCCTTGTAAGTATACATGCTATTATGGGGTGAGACATACTTTGATGTCAAATTCATCAATGGATGAGACATTTGGGTATCTCTCCTGTAAGAACGCTTCCAGCTTCTTTCGTGTTATATATCCCGATATTTTTTCTTCGACAACATTGTGCTTAGGCTGACGAGCCATCGCAGCCTTTTGATTAGGGCTTAAAGGTCAGCAGGAAGTGTTGTGGGTGAACAGTTGGACAAGGCTGATTCGGGCTACTGACTCTCAAGAGAATCAGCCTTGGATAGCCAAATGAGTGAATTTATGTCAAACCTGAGGAACAGAGCCTCATCCGCCTGATGATCCTGTCGCTTGTGCTTCAATTGTGCATGAGATAGAACCATTTGCCTGGAGCGAGAAGCGGGCGGCTATCTGTCGCGATTGGCTAATGTGCAGCAGGCTGTATATTTGCTCTTTTGTGGCGTTCCCAGCTCAAGTAGCCTGCGACGTGCTTTCCGTTTCCGGCGGCCGTTGGTCCTGTCACCGGGCCCAGTACCTCGTTCAGAGCCTTGCAGGCTGAGTCGCAGCTAATGGTATGCGATGGCCCCCACCACACTCAATGCACGATTTATCGTGGAGGCAGAGTCCATCGTGAAGGGCGATAACTTAGGCGATAGATGTTTGTGCCGCTATTTGTGATTGGCTTGAATAGCGTTCGTATCGTGGCGATGTAAAGCAGAGGACGAAATGGCAGCTGACAGTTCGTTATGGCCGCAGCCTCGAGATGAAGGCTTGGAGGGAACGCACGTTCCCTGAATCTGCCGCAGTCATACATTAAGTTGGTCAATCCTTACTCGACTGCAGTTTGCACTACCTCCTTATCTTTCAACATGGGCCAGTGTTTCTCAAGCCTGCATAGCAAGCATGGTATACCCAATGAAGAGGAAGCGCTCGGATCTGCCTTACCAAATCGAGAACATCTAGACAATTCTAGGAAGGCAACGCCGGAGTCGATCAAGGCACGCGATCGAGATCAATTTGACGCAGACGACAAAATCAGCACGACACTGCAAGCAAATCAGCACTTTTTTGACATTGGAAAGATCAAGTACGAACTTTTCGAGGAATTGAGATCCAACGAAGTTGGCGAGGAAGGCAAGCCCATAATACTCCCTGACGAGGTCAAACGCCTCTGGGCTCGCACCTATTATCGCAGAGTTTACACGAGCCAAGTCTGGTACGACTTGGCATGGGACAGAAATGACTTCATGGAACAGTTCGTTCGGATCATGTCAGTCTTGATACGTATTGATTTCTGCAGATGGGACCAGTTTCACACAATCTTCATTATTAGGTCAGACCGGCGAGATGAGCATCTCCCTTTTGATCTAGAGGAATTGAAAGAGGAGGATTTCTTGGGTGGAGTAACAGGATCCAACTTTCATGCAGCACAATTCGCCTTTTGTCCGAGTCAGATTCCGCAACAAGAAGATGAGTTTAGACTGCACAGTGAAAAGCGGCTCCCCTGGGTCGATAACCCTAAGCGCATAGGGCAGGGTGCTTTTGGAAAAGTCGAGAAGCGAACAGTGGCAAAGGGCTTCTTACAATATCAGGACTACACTATCAACTCTAGAGTGAGTTGCTACTGCCAGCCTAGGGCCTCTCATGCCTCGCTAACCGCCCCGCTAGGCCAAAGCTGTCGCCGTTAAGACCTTGTCTGGGGTACATGCACGCCAAGACGAGTTCAAAAACCTGAAAGAACTGCGCGAATGTCTCAGTGATCACAAAAGAATTATGGTCAATATCGTCACGATGGTTGAACAATCGAGTGAGGGCGACATCTATCATATCGTTTACGAGTTGGCCGCGTACGACCTAAATGTCTTCCTGACGAACATGCCTCGAAGCCTAAGAGAAAAACGCCATGCAACAGCTGGCCCTGAAAGAACGGATTCTGCAAATATGTGGCCTGGCGATCTGATTTCAGAGAGCGTTAATCTTGCCGATGCATTGGACTATCTTCATAACCGACTTTTCGCTGAGTCCCATGTATCACTCTCCCATAACGACATCAAACCGGAAAACATTCTAGTAGTCTACCCCGAGACTACCAACAGGCAGGACAGGTTCCCTGTCGGACAGTGGAAGCTTGCCGATTTCGGACTCTCGGTCGTTAAGCTCAAGCGACCATATGCTAGCCACAGTAAACACTTGAGCGTAGATAACGCTGCACTGAGTCCCTCTAATCCACAGAAGACCCATAGGACTGACAGGCCTCCCTCTGTGTCAAATGCCATGCCCACACGGGACCCGGGCCAGTACACGGCACCAGAGTGGGACCAGACTACCCCAAAACCAGTAGACTGTAGAAGGGCTGACGTGTGGTCATTTGGATGCGTTCTGTCTGAGATCGTCACCTATGCTGTTAAGTTGGACTGTCAGCTGGTCGAAAAATTCCGCGATTCACTTGGAAAAAGTGAGCAGCCTGGTCAACGGGAGCCGCAAGACCATCGGTTCTACGACCACGAATCTAAGGATGTTAAGCCCCAGTTTCTTAACCACCTCACGAAGCTACCAAGCGAAGCTCATGGAGACAAGCGTATTCCGGAAAACAACCATTGGATAGGTTCCTGTGTCGACCTCATCAAGGAAATTGTTGTTCAGGACCCCATTTCACGACTCTCAGCGACCAAAATTCGAGCGAGGCTCAGCGAGATCGATTTGTCTATGCGTGACCAAAAGAGAATCTGGCTAAGTCATGACTTGCAACCACTAGACACGAGCATGCTGGACACAGGCATTGCGGTATCTGGCTCAACAAGTGCTATATCCCAAAGTCCCACGGAGTATGGCGATTCCGACCACCCAAGAGATGATTTGGTGACTAGAGTGCCGAGTATCTGCGTTCATCACTCGGATAACTCAATGCCTGAAATTTCCCAATCTCGGCACAGTGTTGACGATGAACGACGGAGAGCTACAGCGCCTAGATGAAACAAAAAGAGCGTCACGGCAGTATGTCTCCATGTACGCTATAGCCCACAAACTATAGGGAATGACAACCACGAAATGTGCTTCTCTGCACCCTGCCACCCTGAGAACACGGATGGGAAACTTGATGCACGAGCTACTTCCACACCAAAGGCAGTAAGAACGAATATCGTTTGGCGTGCATATGCTTGTATGCAAGAATCTAGGTTTTTTATTATGCCTTGTTGTATTCCTTAATGCGCGGCCCTTGGTCGGAAGAATGACATCTAGGAATATATTTGTTTCAACTCGATCAACTATGCATGCATAGCCAACTAGCTAGATTGCTAATATTGGCACTGGGTATTCTCTCAAATAACACTGAGAATTCTTTTAGAGATTAATATGCTAATCTTCTACCTAGCCTTTCTAGAGATTTAGGCAACTTATTATCTTTACTTCTTAGATAATCAGGTGGCTTTCGGGGTTAAGAGCCGAGTTGACAGGATTTCCCGAACTTGATGGAATGAAGTCAGAGAGGTATGCTCGTAAGCCGGGATCGCATGCATACACATATGTACCGCGAATGCCTCGTGTCAAAAGCACAGCATAAATCTGAGTTATGAATCGCAGCAAGTCGGCATCGGAGTACTTCCTACCGAGCGCGCGATTATTCTCTTTGCCCTTTTTGTCAAAGTACGAATCGCGATCGACATAAAGCCGCCTTCGGGCCGGATCGAAGCGCAAGTCCAGCCCGATGATGACGCCAACATAGTTCAAATCATAACCCTGCACCGTGTGCACCGACCCTACTTCCTGCAGCGCATTGTCGGACGATACCCAATCTGTTGGCGTACTGTTCCAGCGAAGTCTCGTGTCACCGATCTCAATATCGAACGCCGTCTTGTCCTTTTGCGTCTTCCACTCCCAAGCATAGCCTGCAACCATGCGAGAAAGTCCCGCTTCAGCATTCCGTTGGAAGATTTCATCACGCATTTCTTCAACAGTGTCGAAGGCGCGGAAATCGTATTCTCCGAGACTCAATCGTGCTCGCGGGACCGAGAGGGGGTTGGGATCAAAGATCCATCGAATGTAAGACACAAAATCCGAACCCGCTTGTACGCGCATTTGAGTGCGGAGTTGGAAATGCTGGCCCGTTGCACGCGTATCGGAAACGAGACCTGAGACCAGCTCTTGTGGGAGATCGGCTGGTCGAACGCTCTGCATTGCATCTAGAAGGAAGACCTGCTGCCTGCTCTTCGCCGTGATCCAGTCAAGCTGCGTCTTACTGAAGTCGTCGCTGCCAAAAAGCTCCCTTGTAATGGTTGTAAACTTCCCGTTGAGTACCCCCAATGGTTGATTAGCGCGCTGATTGAGTCGGTGGGTCTCGTCGATTATCAGCAAGTCGAAAATGCCGTCTGCTTCTCCTACTTGGAAAGGTGTCATGACCATGTCCGGATGGAGCCCGCGTGTCTTTCGAAAAACATCTTTGATGGTACCGCGTAACGACTGCTGCGGAACAACTAGCCCAATTCTGCAATCTTGGAGGAGACGCTGATTAGCTGCAGTGAAAAATTCAAAGAACCGTGAGTCGCTGTCGAGATCATCAAGTGAGTTGAGGGCTGCAATATCGACAAGAAGTTTGATCAAGTATATAGCCACAACCGTCTTGCCGGTGCCTGGGTCGCCTTGTATTACGATCTTGCTTCTCCCGCCCGTCGACAGATCGACAAAAAACCTGGTAAGAATCTCTTCGACAGAATCTGCTTGATCTTCCGTAAGCGCTTTGTAAGGAGAAAGCTTGAAGAGACTGCTGTTCTCGATTTCTGGAATACTTCGAGTAAACATTCTGTCAGATTTGAGTTGTTCGAAGATAGTGCGAAATCCTGCGCGATATGCTTCTCTCTGGTAGTACTGCGCGTCAGTAATGCCGTTGTTCCGATTAAGTACTTGATTTGCGCCGTCACCAGCCATCATCCTGATGAGATAGGACTCCAAATCTAGACAGACTGACTTGTTGTATTTCTCATGCAGGATGACTCTAGCGTTTTTCAGGTGTTGTTTAGCTGGTGTTTCGAGGTGTTGTCGTAATCGACTGACAGCGTTAAGCGATTCTCCAACGTAGATGTCCCTCAGTACACTGTTTGAATTTCTCCCGCCTGTATAGCCATAGTTATCTAACACATACACCACAGGCCAATTTCCATGTTTCTCATCTTGCGACCTCCACGTGGCAACGGCAGGTCTGGAAAACTCAACCTGAGCTATTTGGAAGCTTGTCATATTTTGTACTAACGCCTCGGGCCTTATCCACAGGGTACTTCTTGCGTGTGACTTCGAGCTTTTCTAGCACAATCTGGTCTGGATCGGCTCCTATACGAATAGCGAGTAGATGACAATACGTGAGGACGTCTGCAAGTTCCTCGCGCACGCGCTTCGGTTCAGCGTCTGCACTCCACTGGAAGCACTCGAGCAACTCTGCAGCCTCGATCGATATACTTTTAGCGAGGTTCTCAGGAGTGTGAAATTGCTCCCATTCACGCTCCGCGGCAAATGCCACAAGTGCGTCGCGGACTGAGGTTTCGCCCATGTGGTGTGGCACGGGTTCTATGCCATTGAATCAGTACATCTGCTAGATACACCGGGTTTCGACTTACGATATGAAAGCCGGGAAGCTACTTGAGCGTTGTGTTGTAGCGACGCGCTGATGGAAGAAGCCTCGAGCCTATTGCGACACGGTGGTTTTTCAGAAGCAGGAACACTTGGGAAAGCTCCAGCAAGTCAAGTGCGGTGGAATAAGGGACAGGAACAAAGAAGGACAGATATGGGTGTATATATACTTCGATTCATGAGCTCAGCTCTTCACCAGAAAAGGCCCGTTATGGCGCTAACATACCCAATTAAATTGAGCCAAGGAGGAAACGCTGCAGCCACATCACACGCTCACATGCGATAGCGAGTAAATAGGTAGCTCAGTCGCTTCTTGTATTATTTATAGATATAGATAAGTACATGAAGCACCTGTTCTGATAGGAAACTCCGAAATAGCCCCCACGCAGCACTTTGTTCCCAGTCAGCAACTTCAGCGCTTCTACTGCGTAGAGAGAATGTCAAGTGCTGCTTTCTCGCTAAGCATAAACACCGCAAGAACCGGGAACGCACCAGGAGCTCGAGGGAACGCACTTGCGTCGACAACACGGAGACCCTCTACGCCACGAACACGGAACTTGGAATCAAGGACGGCGTTTGGATCGTCGTCTGATCCAATAGAGCTAGTACTTGTGGCATGATGGCCATAGTTGTTATCTCGAATGAATTGCTCATCATTGCCTTCATCTGAGCAACTGCCGTCAGCGCTGACACTGCCGGAACAGGTAGGCCAAATGACCTCATTTGGGCCAACGGGCGCTGCCACACCAGCATGGACTCGTCGGAAAAACGCTACGGCTTCCTTGATGGCAGCGATATCCTGGTCTGCGCCCTCGTCAGAGAAGTGACGGAAGTTGATTTCGGGTTGAGCTGTTGGGTCGGCTGACCGGAGCTTCACATAGCCAGCGCGGTTGCTGCCGTGCATATGGACGGTGTGGAATCCAAACGTGTTAGGAGGATCAATGAATGACTGGTTCGGGGTTTGAGGCCAAAAACCTCGAACACCCACAGGTCCAGACCACATTCCGATATCGCGCTCTCCAGTGCTAGAGTGGTTCGTCTTCAAAAAGAACATGCTTCCCATGATGCTGCCCTCGGCGTATGGGCCTTGTCCTTGTTGCCAGAGATCGTAACACGGGTCGTTAGGGGCACGAGGTGTGCACTGTGATCGAGGGAACCCTGAACCGCCATCGACACTGATGTTTTGTGCCGCGAGCCCAATAGTGGCAATCTCGTTGTGGTCTTGCATGTTACGTCCGACTCCAGGAAGATCCGCCACGACTGTGATATTAACTGCTTCTAGGTCGGCAGCTGGACCGATACCACTCAACAAAAGGAGTTGAGGCGTGTTGAATGTTCCTCCGCTAACGATGACCTCTTTGCTGGCATACATTTGCTTGGTAGTCGCATCGTTTGATGCATTGTAACGCAAATCGCCTTGATAGATGCTCTTGCCTTCAAGGTATTCGACACCAATCGCGCGGGGAGCAGTTCCGTTGACGGAATCTTCGAAAAGTACTTTGCTGGCCAAGGAGTTCAATCGAACTTCTAGCGGGTAACTCTTTCTTCCGGTAGAATCGACTGCCCTTAGAGTAGCGAGGACATGGTCTCTGACGCTGTAGTGACCCCAAGTTCCATTGGCGTGGAAAACTCCTCCAAAGAGGCCGACGGTTTGGTCCCTGTCCGAGCGTAACTGATTAGGGTCCGTATCGAAAAGTTGTTTCAGCTCATCAGGATTCTGTCCAACTTCAGACACCAAAGATCTGTATATCTCCGACGACTGAGGCGAGGTAGTGAATACCGTTCCATTCCCTTCGTTGAGTTGTAGGTAACCGTCAAATCCATGTCCAGGCGTTTCGCGTGGAAGATACAAATTCTTCTCTGTCTTCACGAAGATTTCTCTCATCCGTTCGGGACTAATGTTCACGTTAGAATATCTGTTTCCAAAAGTATTAGGTTTCATCGTGACTCACTTCCAAGAAGAGTCGCCAGTAAGGGCTTCGATCTGACTCCAATCTCGTTCACTGGGAAGAACGTTGAACCCTGCATTCACCAGAGTCGAACCTCCCAGAGTAGCACCGCGAGTATATTGGACACCGAGCATTTCTGCACCAGCCGGGGCAGAACTACCGGGACCAACCCAAAGGTCTCCGTTTGAAAGTCTCCAAGTGAGTCGCTGATACCTCTTGGTTTGCTCGTCGTCATCGTAATGGCGAACCCAGAATGACCAGCCGAGGTTTGCGGGAATAGGTACTTCCGAGAGGGCGAGAGCTTGCGTTCGTTTTTCGGCGCTCTCGTCATCGCCGGCTTCAAGCAACAGAGTCTTAAAACCAGCCTTGGCAAGGTTGACAGCCAATGGGCCACCACCTGGGCCACTACCTACAACAATGTAGTCGTAGGTATCATTTGATCCTTGGGACAAGGCAGTAACAGAGCTAATGGTAGCAATGAACAGAGCGGCACTGAGGCCTAGCGAACCGTGGGTACGATTGGAGAACCGCATAGTTGCTGCAACAAGCTGATTCGAGGCTTAGAAATGATGTAAGAACAATGGTAGAGATAGGTGATGAAAGAGATATGAGGGCAGGCGGATGTGGTTCTAATTAAGCAAAAATCACGGTCTCCTATAATGAGTATTCCACATCTTTGACAATGAGCACCGACAATACAGACAACAATACGGACGAACAAACACACCGCTACGCAGATACTATTGCACTCCTTAACACCGCTACCTGGGTACTATTGCACTTCTGCGGGTGAATTTCTAGGTCATCGGACCAGTTTAGAACGTGATTATACAACAAGAGCGATCACTCCACGTATACAAACAGAAATTGGATAGTTGTCTATTCATTTGATCACAAATCAGAGCACGCCTGAGTACACGCTCAATGTATGAAACATGCGAGTTCTGCTTGATCACATTGATTCTTGGCGAAAATAGATTCTTGATAGGGATTAGTTCGACGAATACCTACTCGTGGGAACAAAATAGGTAGTTATGCCGGATGTTTAGGTCTGTGCCAAGCTGCCAAGTGTGACTTTGTGGAACAGTATGCCACCGTGCGAGATTGTAGTCGTACAACTATAACAAACTGTCCTGTATAGGATATACCGCCGTGTCTTGATGGCCTCTCTATGTACTGAGAAATCCCCCGTTAACGTGTGAACAGCGTTCTTCCAACGATTTGCTTGCGTGTTGCGGCGCTAACGTACCCACTAAGACCGGCCCTAGTAGACGACACTGTAGCAACATCACAGGTTCGTATGCGACACCGAGTGAAATAGATCTCGTAGAGTTGGCTGGTTGGAATTGTACCGTCGTGACCAGACATGCCTTATACTCGGAGATAGACTCTATGTGCAGGCCTAAATCTCCCATCTCAATCATCTCAGGCAGTACAAGAGAGCGCGAGGGAATCCGCTTGAATGCGGACGATACAAGTGTGACTTGAGAAGGACAATTACTCAAACTCGTTCTTGAATCTAGATCTATGAATTATAATTTTGCCAACCCCCAACTTTCCAAGGAACATGCAAACAATGGTGTAATATCGATACTAGGAAGAAAAGATAGAACAGAAAGACAAGGGAGAAGATGTGCAAGACAAAAGATTATTGAGAGGGAAAAGAGATGTATGTATGCAAATCACGGCGCAGTATAATGCTTCCCACCCAACCCACCCCCAACCATGCAACGAACCAGCCATCAAAACTAGAAGGAAACAGTACAGCACGAAAATGAAAACAAGAGAGAAAAGAGATAACAAAATACTCCCACTCAACTCCCATCGCCCACGCGCGCTGTAAACAACATCTCGCTGCCATTCTGCTTCTTGCTCTCTCTCTCCGCACAACCCCGCCTCTCCCCTCAACTTAATTATAAATCTCCAACGGCGCAATCTGGTCAACATTATACAACCACCCTCCCCCTCTCTCCTCACTCTCCAACCAATCATACGGCCAAAGCACAATATGTCCCTGCACCAACTCCAACAGACGCTTCGCATCCTCCTTATCCAACATACTATCCGCATCTGTCGCGTGGAACTGTCTATTCGAACTCTTCGTCGTCGCGCGACGCCGGGAGCGTTTAGTGTTGGAGCGGTTGGGCGTACTGCCGTTTTGGTTGTGGGATTGGTTCCCGGGGAGGGCGGAAGGGTGGATCGGGGGTTCGGAAATGGTGATGCGTTGGGAGCGGTCGCGCATTGAGTGCGATGTTTGCGGTGGTCCATTTGCGTTTTGAGTCGCAAAGTCCGTGTGGGAGGTGTGGTCGTTCGGAATGGGGGGTGGAGCAGGGAAGGTAAACGTCTTCTCCGGTGGAGCGGGGTTCATGGGTGACACGACCGCATCGTCAGCGGGTTCCGGGGCTAACTTCTCATTTAGAGTAGATCCAGATGCTGTTTCGACGTGAAGGCCACCGCGCGTGGTGGTTGGAGGCGGGCTTTGAGATTGCACGCGTTTTTCTTGGTCGTTGGCCCATTGTTCCACTCCACCCATGCTGGAGTGGTGGGTCGTGCTATGTATGCTCTCGCCATTCACTCGGTCCGAGTTGTTGGTCATCTTCTCGGTGAGCTTCTCTCCTAGGGCTCCGACTTGCTTTCCGACAGCACCAGCCCCCGAAGTGAACTTGCTTGTGAGGCCGGTCCCAGGCGGCCCAGTTGTACCTGGTGCATCCTGCTGTTTGTGCATCTGGCTCTTGTCCCCACCTTGAGATTTGGTGAAGCGTTCCGAGAATGCAGCATACTCCTGGTACTCTTTCCAAGTCCGAACCTCGTTATCGGGCATACAGCGGAAAACCTGGCGGAACAGCTTTGTGTTGTTCTCTGCGACTTGATGCCAAGTGTCGAGGAAGAAGGTGTCATTGATGGGGTCACGCATGCAGTCTTCGGTGACGATGGGTCGACGCATCTCCGAGAGAAAGGGATTGATGATTGAGGAGGAACCTTGGCTGACGGTTCTTTGCAGAGCAGGTGGGCCACCAATGTCGGTATCATCCAGGAGCGGCAAAGCAGGCAGCTGACTGAGTTGTGTCAAGCCTAGCTTCAGCGTATCCATGCGGGGTAACTTGGGAGGCGGGAGGCCAGCATAACCAGTTCCGTCAGTTTGTGTGCTGATGGCACTATTCCGGGTACCAGTGGTGCCACTACGTTTTCGGGTCTTGAGCGTTGCGCTCTTACGTGGCGTAGCTGCAGCACCTTCCGCAGCAACGTCAGTTACGAGTTTTTCATGGCCATGCTCGTCGATGTAGGAGTCTCGGGCTAAGGTCGTAACAGGGCGTGTCTCTACAGCTTCACGCATATGGTCAGCGCCCTCTCCACGAACATCCTTCATATGTGCGGAGTTGTGTTGGACGCGAGGATCCGCTGATGGCTTTTTGGTGCTTTGTAGATGTGGATTGTGGTCTTGCGCCCAGTCAAAGTCATGGTTGAAGCTGTGTAACTTCTCCGCCTTCTGGATAAGCTCATCCTGCATCTTGGAGTGATTCTCTTCCAACTTCTCTTCGGTCGCGCGCTGAGCTGTTGGCGAACCAGGTCCAGAAGACTCAGTCTGAAAGCCGACACTATCGGCATCAGACATTTGGCTGAGCATCTCCTCTTCAGAGATACAGTCAACATCAACACCGAGATGCTCTCGCATGAGGCGCATGCGCAACGTGTGCGGGAATTTGCCGACCTTGTATGGCTGGCCGCCCATGTACGAATCGAGTAGCTCAGTATCGCGGATGATAGCGGCAATCTCAGAGTCTCGCGATCCCAGCATAGACCGCTCGTTGATGTTTGCGGAACCGATGATGGCGACTCGATCGTCAACAACCATGATCTTGGCGTGGATGTACAACTGCTCTGTAACCAACATCTTGTTCGGGCCAATCTCGCCCCACGATCGGAGTGCGTAGAAGTTGATATAATCTTCCGGCTCGATGCCAGCAGCTCGCAATCGTCCGAAGATGGAGCCTTCGCCACGGCAGATGCTGTGATATTGACACGTCATAATGAGACGAACACTGCTGCCTTCTTGCTCATCGACAGTGTTCTGGTAACCAGGCATCAGCGGAAGCATGATGCATGCTCTCCAATCCTCATCGTTGGCATGTGCGCGCTTGATTCGGTCAACAATCGCATCATTAATCTTGTTCTCGATTTTTGTCCCCAGTACATCGCCACTGCTGATGTAGAACTGGTTCTCGATATAAACAAAGTGCTCGGAAGTGGCAATCATCTGCACATATGCGTTCATGATGCTGTGCTCGACCTTGTTAGGCGTACCCAACGACCAAGCGCAAGCAGAACGTAGAATCTGGACTTCGCAAGTTCCATCCAACCCAAGAGCTTCGATGTCGGCTGGGTTGAAGTCAGGTGGTGGAAGAAGGAAGGGCGTGGGTCGAGAGGGCTTGCGCTGGCGCAACAGGTAATTCCACCGCTGTACAAAATGGCGGGTCAGGTCGCGGGCTGGGTGACCCACAATCTGCATACCGACATCGTGCCATGGCATCCTAGGGACTCTCGAGCGGTCGTACATCTCCTCGTAGGGTTTGTCGAGAGCAAAGAAGTCTTGCACACGGGGGTTGGAGTAGTCCTTACCCGGCCACAGCTGACAGTGGTCGGCGTCTTTGGGTGTGTCATCGAGTTCGAAGCCCGTAGGCTTGTCGTCAACCACAACGTGTTGTGGTGTATCCCAACGACCGAAACAAAGGTCAACACCTCCGCAGAAAGCAACAGTGTGGTCAATAACGCAAATCTTCTCGTGATGAGACCAGAAGAATGTGTTTTGGCGGATCTGGTTTGGCGATCGCTGAACAAAAATGTTCGGGTGCAGATCGAGCAGAGAGAACTTGGAGTACTCGGAGTCAATAGGAATAGCGGCACCAATGTTGCGATACATAATCACAAAAATCTTGACACCTTCCTGTGCTTTGCGCTGGAGCAGTCTGTCCAGTCTCCACTTCTGACTAATGGCAGCTGGGCGCCGCAGGTAGAGTTCAGGACTGAGCCACCAGTCGTGAATGTAAATGACATCCCGCGCCATACTAATAGCTCGAGACACATTCCACATATAATCGCGACCGTCTACAAGCCATTGTGCGTAGATCTTCTTGCGCACAGGGGCAAAGCTGTCGAAGCGCTGGCGTTGAGACCATAGTGTGTTCTGTGACATGAAGTTAATGGACTCCTCAAACTGATGGAGCATCCTCTCGTTGCGAGCAAGCAACTTCATCTTGCGTTCGGCGTTGACCAGCTTCAGTTGGTGATGACCTGTTGCGGATGCCTTCGCTTCGCTTGCAAGATCTCTGGCTTTCTTGTCTCTTATCCTAGCGGATTTGGTGTCAAGATGGAAGTCTGCATCGACCAGGAAGACATCATAGACGTTCATCTCCTCGGGTGAATCTACACAGACAACGTAGCTGTGCCTTACCAAGAACCATTTTGGCCAGTGACGGTTCATCATAGCTATCTTGGTCCAGCCTTTCCTATTGTCAACGCCCTTTGAAGATTTAATCATCATGTAACCTTCCTTGCCATGATAGCCGCCCTCGGCCGCTAGGCGGACACCAAGAGCAGACAGCTCGAGAAACTTGCACAGGCGATTGCTGTCAGGGCGGAAGATGAGATAGGTCATGAGACCTCGCAGGTACTGTTCCAACTTCTTCCGTTGCCGGTCATGATGGGTCTGTTTCGCCTGTAGAGGCTGACCAGCGGCCCCAGCAAAACTGCCTTGCCTCGCTACGAGGGCACCAACAGCGCCCTGGGCCTGGCTTCCACTTACACTCGACTGCCTACGTCCGAGGAATGATGACTTCCCCCGCCTCGGTCTATTTGGTCGTTCAGTAGCGCTTGCGTCGCCTTCGGGTCCGCTTGCTCCTCCACCGACTGCAACCTCTTCCTCCTCTTCCTCGCCTTCGTCGTCTAGGATGCCATAGCCGCGGAGTCCTCGAAGGTAAGGCAAGACACTCCTGGGGAAGCGCGGGAGCTTCGTCCGCGGATCTTCTTTTTCTTCCTCCTTTTCATTCTCGCCGTCTTTGGCGGCCTTGTCCTTGATTTCTCGCATACGATTAGCCGGACGGCTACGGAAGGCATCCTGCTTCTCCTGGACTTTGAATTTCAAGTGCAGATTTGCAAAGTCGGCAACACTCCTGTAGACTACCCATTTCATCCTAGTCAGACCGCTACCGTATTCCAATTCGATACGCAATGCAGTGTGACGATCGCCCTCCTTCTTGGCAGAGCGATCCGTGTCGGTGATGGTGACCTTGAGCTGCTCAAGAAGGACTGGTATCCTTCGGTGACCATGCTCATCGCGCTGGAACATACTCGCAAAGAACAAGGCTGCAGGCGCACCTGCAAGCAATTCGGCCATGAGTTCAGCCGACTTTGCGTGGTCGATCTGGCGTTCTGCCTTTTGACGATTGCCCAAAAGCTTGAGGCTGTTCTTGATCGACTTCCACTTTTGCGCGCTCAGACTTGATGTTCGCTCGCTACGCATGCGCCATGGTGAGGGTTGTCCATTCTCACCAGCAGCACCCCTGAATGTAGTCAAGCTTCGCAAGTTTCCCGTAGGTCGACTTTGTCCTTCAGATTCTTCGGCGTTGGGGTCGTGTCTCCGGAGACCTCCGTATGAAAGTCCTCTCGCACTATGCAGTCCGCGTGTCCAAGCGCTCTCCTTCGCGATCCGCGAACGGCCTTCGTCCTCTGAGTAGCCCTGGCGCTCGTTCTCGGGTATGTCATCCATGGTCGATCGGCGTAGGAAGCCTGGACGGGTCGAGGTGGGTGTCATGTTGGGTGAGTCACGCGAGAAGAAGCCACCGGTGGACTGCTTGGGTGTGGTAGGGGCTGTCTGTGTGCCTTCGCCCTCGCCATCAAACCAACGCCGGCTGCTCTTCCGCCTCTTTTGTCTCGGTCTTCTCGATGCACCCTCGCCCGCGCTTGATTCGCCATCAGCGTCAGCCTCGCTGTCGTATCGCGGCTCGTCGAGCTCGGATGTTGGAGAAAGTTGGCCGTGAGGTGAGCCGCCTTCCTGGCCAGAGGCTGTCAGAGCGCTCAGACTCCGGCCGTGTCCCTGGATGGGCGCTGCCAGTGCCCTCAGCTTGCCCATGAGGGACGAGCTCTGTGTGCTCCTCTCTTTGCCCTTTCCTTCGCTGTCTTCCACCTCCCATGACTGCTGCCGCGAGTTTGCTGCGGGTGGGTCGGATGTGAATGTGGCCGAACGAGCGAATTGCACGCTCTTGCGTTCTCGCGGGGCGTCGGAGAGCTCGCCCTCGGTGGGGTGTCGGGACATGGGCGCGAAGGGAGGGTAGTAGGAGCTGGCGGAGCCATTGGATATGTGTGACGAGGGTTTCGTGGCGCGGATGGGAGCTTCAGTGGTTCCGAGGGGGATACTAGCCCCGTTCGCGTTCACTGGCGCATTGAAGGGAAATTCGCCGGCTTCTTTGGTGGACAAGGGCGAGCCTGTCGGGGCAGATCGCATGATTTTGGGGGCGCCGTCTGAAGGTGCTGGGTTGTGTATGTCTTGTGTCTCATTCCGGGCCTGACCTGCTCCAAGAGGAGGGAGCAGTCGACCCGAGTCATCTGTCCTTCCTGACACTGCCGGCGATCTGGACCGAGGACTGCGCGCCATGGGCGAGGAGCTGGTAGAGCCAGGCATGGTGGCGACGATGATGATGACGACACGGGGCAACGAAGGGGAATCTGAGGCGTCTTCTTCCGGCGAGGTCGCGTGGGGGAAGGTTGTGGTTGCTCAGCTTGTGGGTGTTTATAGCGCCATGGTGTTGACAGTAAACCTGCTGCCGTCACTCGTCACGATGGGATTGATGGGAATTCTTGGCCACGAGCAGGTGAAAGCGAGTTGGTAGTAATGATTCTATGTCATCAGCAGTTGGAAGAAAAGAGTACACGCGGCGCAGATGATCCGTGAACGTCTGGCTGGGTCCTTGCGCGGTTCGAGTAATCTCCCAGGTGCTTTCCCCAGTGAACTGTCTGGATGCGCTAACACTTTTGGCGTCAGGGGCCCTCTTCCGCCTTGCTGACCGCCTGCACCGTGTTGAAGCTCCACCGCACTGCACTTCGCACCGCCCTGCATGCATATACATGTAATCGACTCCAGTATATTTGTTATGTCACTTTTGCATGCACCGCATCCTCCACTGGTGGGCAAAGCAAATTATATGATATCACCCTCGTGCTCTTGACGCCATGGCTGCACCCCGCACTGTACCACCAAGACTCCTAAATACGAGCGTACCGGAGTCCCACCCGTACACATGATGGCCTGTGGTCCCATACTGCTGTAAAACTCGCGTTATATGTCTACGCGTTATCACCAGCACACCGCGTGGTTGTCAAGTATGCTAGACAGTGATGTAGTTCTGCCGTCAACGGCAGCCTCGGTTCCGGAGGTGCTGCCCCTCCGCTTTCGCATCACAAGATACAAGAGACGAAGAGCCTCACATCTTCTTCCCCGGTTGCGCTAACCGCCCAAGCCCTCTCCATCATCTTTATTATTCCTAACTCACCATGGCTGCGACTACGAATCCCCTGGACGGGACACAAAACTCGTCCGACCTCCCCGTCTCCTCCAAAACCATCACAATTGCCGGCATCCTCGTCGACGTCCACGGCCTAGACGAACTACCCGCTTCCCCGTCATCAGTCGCATGCCTATGGCTCCTCAATCCGCGCTTACAGACCAAAGAGACCATGGCTCCGATAGCCAGGCGCGTCATCTCAACCTGGAACAAGCGCGTACAAGACGGTCGCGCTGGCACGCGTCCTAAAGGTCTGATCGCCGCTGCCTTTGACCAGCGCAATCACGGATCACGCAAAGTCGACGATTTGCACAACCAGGCTTGGAGAGAAGGAAATGAGACGCATGCGCAGGACATGTTTGGTTGTTTCCACGGCACGGCAACCGATACCTCACAACTCATCAACCATCTCGAATCCTACATCTTCACAGCAAAGGACAGTCCCAAGATCCAACAACACTTTGCTCTTGGTATCTCGCTAGGCGGACATGCGACTTGGCATTGCTTGCTTGGGGATCCGCGAATCACTGCTGGAGTCGTTGGCATTGGTTGTCCAGACTATACGCGTTTACTAACCGATCGCGCACGTCTGTCGAAGCGAAAGACATACAAGGACACTACACCGCCTGGCAGTGCTTTCCTTGGCTCCCCAGACTTCCCACAGGCGCTACAGGATGCGATCGCCCAGTATGATCCTGCAGGTTTGCTGTTACCGGGCATGTTCAATCCTCTAGGAGATGACACACCGCCTGACCAAGCGCAGCTAACCAGGATGAAAGCGCTAATGAAGGAGAAACTCCAGGGCAAGCGGATTCTGAACCTCAGTGGTCAGGCGGATAAGCTCGTTCCGTATTCGGCTGGTGAGCCTTTCTACAAGATCTTCAAACAGGTATTAGCCGAAGATTCGAGTCTCGACATTGTCTTTGAAGATGTGCTGTTCGAGGGCGTAGAACACGCGTTTCCGAAACCCATGGCTGATAAAGCAGCCGAGTGGTTATGTGATATCCTGGCTACAGACGATGGACCCGTGTCTAGTAAGATATAGTGAATGATATACAACGGCGATCGAAGGCGTATTGATATCAAACGCGGCAACGTCACAGCATCTTATTCATTCTTCACGATACTTTCCAATTCAGTCATCTTGATACTCTCGCTCTCTAGCTTGACTTTCATGTTCTTCCTTTTCTGATACTACAGGCCTCATCATCTTGCATTATCTTTCATCTCCATCTTAGTCTTCACTCTACCTAACATGACGAACACTCCAGCGCCAGAACACAGAATCCCACGCTACCACGCCTTCTCAACTTCCGAAGAACAAGAAGCGTACATTGATTTGACAGACTCTGTCGACAATCTAAACAGCGCCGCTCCACCATCCCCTACCTTGACTGAGATATCACTCTTACATCAGGAAATGAATCCTAAACCCTGGCGCGACACTGAACCAAACGAATCTCTACATGAACCCAGCAGCTTACCTGGACCCAAGCATGACTCTATCGGCCGACTGACTGCCATGTTAACACTATATGACCTGGCCATGTCATGCGAGGAGATCGAGGAAGCTGACTGGGACAACTATACCACACCTTACGAACCAGTTGATCTAGAAATGTTAGAGCGACGTTTTCTGAGGAAGTGCTGGCCTCCTGAGATAGAAGCATCGTGGCCTAATCTCGTTGTTTATGCAAGGTGGAAGAAGTTGTCACAGGGTTCTAAAATCATCGTAGAGCATAGCTGATAGATGCGACTACCGAACATTTAGGATTCGTTCACTTGTTCGACCATTTCTGCTTGACCTGTTCCCTACGGTTCATCTGTGTTGCTTATTAACATGATGGAAGTGCTGGTGATAAGACGCAGGCACAACGCTGTTAGTTACACTGTATTGTATCGCAGTAGATGTGTGTTCCTAAACGTTTACTTAGCTTTACAGTATACAGCTGTATATATACTTATTTAGAAATTTATTGATTGTAACCGAAGCCATTGAACCGTGGCGCTCAACGTCGACGTTGGAATCTGTGTTGCTTATGTCCAGTCCGGTCTGGGTTAAGCGTTATGCAGCCTTAGGACGCATGTTACAACACCGCCCCTATTGGCTGCAACCAGGCTTTATCGTGGAGACCAAAAGCGGGGTAGTCTTGCTGATACGATATAAGTAGCCATGCGCTTTTGTACGTGGAGGAGGATGGAGCTCGTCGGGGAATCTACGCTAACGGTCTTACCTAGGTAGGATGCCACAACTAACTTTTCTTGGGTACCTATTACGCCTTCTCTCGTTACTCATTCGCGGCCTCTATTTTGGTGTCTATACTGGGCTCGAAGTCTTGATTCTAACACCCTTGGTATACTGGTACCTAAGGCCAAGTCGACATGGGAGGGGAGTTGTCTTGCGAACTTGCAAAGAATGGTTCTTGGGAGGTGCAACCGGTATAGAGTATCAGCCCTTGCCGGGACCCACGTGTATTCGACTGCTAAAACTCGAAGCTGCGTCATCCAGTGCTGTGATTCGATGCTCTTCACGTCACGTCGATTTGGGCTCCGAACCAGACTAGACAGCGCTTTCGTATACCTGGAATCAGGATACTACTCGGTTTCTGGCGGTATATTATCTCATCAAGAATGCTATAAAAGACTATCGTCAGGGTAGGGATGTCAAGGTCAAACCTGCACAGAATACAAGCGAGCTTAAACGCTCAAAGGTGATCGTTTGCAACGGTAGAGTCACTAAGATCCATTCCAATATGTATCACGCATTGGTCCAACTGAGGCAAAGATCTGCGCGTGAATACTGGGTCGATGCGATATGTATCCTTCAATGGTACCGTCATATCTGAAGGAAATACACCAGAAGTATCTGCTCGCTGATAAGATCAGCGATCTCGCCGAACGAGTTTCTCAAGCCCAGCTGATGGGTTGCATCTATCGGAACGCTGGATCAGTGGTCGTATGGCTCGGGCAAATGTCGATATTCTCGGAGAAGTGCGTACGAGTTTTCGCAAAGATCCCAACCCAACCAACAATGCCACTTCAAGTGCACTCGGATTGTCACAAAGACAAAGTGATGCCCACCAAGGCGATAGCTAGCATAGATCCAACAGTTTATAAGCTTGCCCTCATAGGTGCAGCGGCTGTCATCTCGTCTCAATGGTACGTGATGTCCATTGCAGAACGATTCATGAGCCACGGTCTGACGCTTCATATGTGTACTAAGGTTCATACGTACTTGGGTTGTACAAGAACTTTGCTGGGCTAGCGAAGTCGTTTATCCTATCGGCGAATCGGAGATAAGCGCTTGCGATATTGTTAAGAGCTTCGAGTTGGCCAAGGAATTCGTTCGTTCACTAGATCATTCGCTTGAGAACTTGACCAATTCTGCATTAAGGCCACTGGGCACTCCAAAAAGTGAAAATCAGCACTGGATCTTGAGGAAATGGGGGTCAACGTTCGGGCCAATCTGGATTCCGCAGATCTTTTACAGTATGTGAACATGTGAATTATTTCTAAGATCATAGAACCATCTGGATCATCGCTGACCTTTCTGTAGTAAGTCTATCGGCCAAGCAACCCCGTCAGGAAGCGAAACCATGCGTGAGGTCTATGTCTAAGCACTGCTAAAGGACATGCAGGCCCCAATGACGCTACAAGCACGCGACTATTTTCAGCAAGGCATAATGTGGACGCTCTCAGAATGTTTGCTAGCATGTAGCGGCCGATCAGCCACGGACGTTCGAGATCTAGTATTCGCAGGTCTGTCTCTTGTTAACACCAAAGGCCTCGTGATCGATCCGAATATTCTGCTCGAGGATTCCGAAACAACTACAACAGGCTCACATTAATTCTTGCCCGCCACATGTACGATCCCCAAACGATACCCCCTTCTCGGTCTGAAGGCAGATGATCGATCTTTCTCCGACCGAAAGCCTACGTCCTCAATCAATTTAAGTCCTCTCATTCCTAATGGCCTCTGGCCCGCATTAGTAGCCGACTATACTGTTAACAAAGCAGAAGTGTTCATCAATACTGCTGCTTGCTTACTAACGCAGTCTGGTACCCAGAAGTTACTTTCAATCGCAGCACATACAAATCGTCCCAGTGCGTAAGACTCTGACTGGTGGATATCGACAAGCGAGCATAAATTACTCGAAGACCTTCCGTCATGGGTGCCGGTGCCCGGGCCATGGACAACATGTTCTGCATGATACAAGCTTGAAGATCAACGCTGACTAGCCAGTCGCGCGTCAACGGACTTCTCGCTTCACAGGCCACCTCCAAATTCTGTGCAGGTGGCACGATTGGAAAATCTCCCAATATATCTTGGGATGGAAGAGCCCTACATTTGGATGCCGAACTTCACGATTCCATTGGGGATTTCATCATCGAAGACGACTTCTTCGACCTTTCCTCGCCGCAGCAGTTACAAAATCTGTTTGTCATATTATTGAACCATTCAAAGACATATGGTAAACGAGTGTCTGCTATTGACGCTCTTAATCGGGTGCCTCTAGGCCATACAGAACAAGATTACCCACAACTCTACCAGCACGCTTCTTCGTGGCTTTGTCATATTTTGGCATCTGCCGTCTTAACGCAATTGCGTTTGGAACGTCAAAAGCCATATGAAAACAGCCCTCGAAGATGTGACTATACGAGCAGCACCAGTGACAATTTTGCAGACTTGTTGATCAACTACCACAAGCAGAAGAATAAGGAGATGGATAGTTTGCTCGAGCTCTTCGAAGAGATACTGGCTAACTTTCCAGAACAACCATAGCCAGAATGGTCCAGAGCTCCACGGAAGCTTGACATGGACATGCACGTGAAATATTTAAAAGGACTTTCGAGATAGAACAGCTCGACGCTCAGGCAACAGGTGCCCGTAAAGTCATTCGCCTCAGTGCCCGTGAGGCCATGATGTACCACTTCCACGAATATCTAGAGAATCCAGACTTTCCCTCGTTCCAGCCATACACGTCCGAGACGAAGAACAAGCCGCAATCGACGCCGTTTGAGCCTTGCGACCCAGATGTTCACGCGCACCTCACAAATTTGGCTAGATCAGTACTTGCGTGGCGAAAAGTCTTCGTCACAGGCCGCGGAAATATAGGTCATGGTCCAAGATGGCTAGTAGGTGGTGAAGTGGTAGTGCTAGTAAGCGGTGCAGATGTGCCATACGTCCTCACACCGCTGAAAGTAGACCAGCAAGCCCGAGCACGACAACTGCGACTAGAAGTCGATGAGAATGACCAGAAATACTACGCAACAACGATGAAGCTGCAGAAAGCGGAGAGGCCGTCTTTCTGGAAGCCACTGAATGCTTTGTGGTATGAACGTCAACAAAAAAAATTGAAAAGACTCGATGAAAGGAGGTTGGAACTACAAGACAGATACGATCGGATATTGAAATCGGTGCAAACGCATGACGCATTCGTGCTACAGGACGAGGTATATATTGACAGTATCATGCATGGGGAGGGTGTAGGGTTGGTCTCAAGAGGGAGGATAACGATCGTATGACAACACAGGCTCTCGATCCGTTTGGCCATGAACAAGCAATCAAACGATGCATTCGTAAAACGAAGATACATGCGGTCAGGGAGGCGGGCGTGAAAGGAAAGTTGTATGGCGTCCTGCATATGCAGCACATGATGCTTGGCTTCCTCTTCAAGCCCAGGCCATGACCGCCTATCTCGAGGAAAACGTTGACCCAGACGCAAGCTTCGAATGGTTCCAAGTTCACGACCCTTTAAACACTTTCCAGAACACGCCATACTACACGATGAAGGGTCGGATGGGCTCTAGCAAGCCGGGCGACTTCATAGAGTTCGAGGTTTTGAAGGACACGGTTGTCGCTGTGAGCTGCTGCCCGTACGAGGAGGGTGGCTTCAACGGTGGAAAATCGACTGAGATAGCAGTGAGCTGGCAGACGGCAGAGTGAGCGTAATCAGATCGTTGGATTGGAGAGGGTTTGTGCAAGAGGTACGTGGTAGGAAGGAATCGCTTCAGATTGGCCGTAGCTTTTGCTACGTGAATCAGTAGCAGCAGAATACTTGAAGTCTTGAATCCTTGAAACTAGTACATGCGACCATAGAATACTGAGAACTAGGATACTCGTTCGCTCTGTCATATTTACTGATGTTATGTTGTTGCCAGTTTCCCGAAACAGGGAACAGTTTTCGCGATTCAGGCATTGCTTAGCTAACCACCTAATCCAGCCTCACGACCATTTCAGTAGCATTTTGAGCTCAAAACACAAGATCGATCCACGTGTCCGTATTACCTTTTGCGGTCATGTCATGGCGAGGACGCCGCCTTTCGTCTCTGGCGACCTCGAACGCATGCAAGTTCAAGAGTGTCTGGAACGGATACCCAGAAGTGTTTGAAAGCTATAAGGCTTTCCAGTCTTCTAGCATAGAGTGTGGTCTCGCTTTCGTTGTAGAAGCTATATCTTACAGGTAAATTTTGGCAGCTTTGTACTCGAGAACCAGTCGTAACAAAAAATGGCACGGCTAGCGCGTCCTGAAGTGAACTTTTCTTGGGAGCTGGATTTAGCACAGTTGCAGGATAGAACCTTGCAACAGGAGTAATTACGCCGGATAACGGCGTACGTCCTTCATACGCGACTAGCACGGTGTAGACACTAGGACTAGAGGTGCATAGATGAGATCTTTCCATGCTTTCTTCTACTATAAAATTGTTAGAAGTAGATCGAAGAGGGGTTTCAACGCTCACTTCTAACTTTGGCAGTTTTTGCTGAGTAACAAAGGCGCTGCATTGGTTTATAGATGGACGTTACTATAATTCGTCGCGTCTGTTGTTTCGGTGAGCTGGTGGTATATGGTATGATGTGGTCGGTAAAAAAATAGCTATGCATTTGATAACGGTAAGAACAGACAAATTTGCGTGAGAAACAAAGAAAACGACCATCCACACTAACACTACAGCGACTCTAGCGCTGCCACGAAGGACCAGGTCGCCAAACACAATCTTCTGTCATTCACACGATCCCGCCGTGTAAGCCTCGATTTCCTGCAAAACCACCCAACAGTGGCAGTATCGTGGCTACCCACCTCCTGGTATGTTGTCAAAACTACTGGATTAAGAGCCTTCGACCTTTGGTGCAGCCGTCTCCAGTTCGTTGTCCGGCGCACCCGCCCCAGGCTTTGGGTTGATCCTCCAATCGATCTCATCAATTTTCTTCCCAAACGGCGCATGTAGGCTTCTATCCCAGGCCAAGATCGGCGGTGGCAACGGCTCTCCTGCCTTCACCTCGTCGGCATTATATCTCCAAATCTTATTAACTTTGCTGTCAGGACCCGTGATAATGCCAGCCTCGACCGCGCCCCAATAACTCTGGTCTCGCATCAATGGTTCCTTTTTGTCGCTGAATAGCATGTGCAATTCAGGCTTAGAATCCGCGGCTCGACGAGCCTGAGCAAAGGATAGTGCAAAGTTGGGTAAGTGCGACTTGGTAGGGTTCGCCTTCTGATAGTCGACCCACATCGAGAATGCAGCCGTGCCATGGTATGTATCATACCAGTCATTTAAGTAGCCTATATTAGAGTCCTCGGCTGCGAAATCCTTGAAGACTTTTCGTTCAGATGAACCGGAGACCGCTAGAAGACAAGGGGCGTTAGTCGTATAGCTTTGATTATCGTTCTAGCTCACATGGAAGTAAATTTGACGATGTTGAGAATAAAAAAGAACGAGAAGAGGAATTGCGAATTCAACGGGAGGGTTCAAATATACTCACCTTTACCTGAATACATTAAGTATCCGCCAGAGGCGGGTGGGAGTTGACCCTCCTTGACTTCTAAATCAAGAAATTTGTTCTATTGAATTAGAGAATGTTAGTTACACTGGAATAATAAACTGCGTAAAAGAGGCAGAGAACGTGCTACATGTGCACGTGCTCTTCGTCTGCACGCAATATACTTACTTGAGGGGGGAAGTCATGTACATACCCATTCCGATAGCTCAGGTTCTTGATTCATTCCATTAGGTGCCGGACCAGTATATCTTGCGGGTGGAGGCATTAGAGGAACATCATCGGATGCTTCGACGCCATCAGTAGCGTCTTTGTCGTCCGAACTTTTCTTCTTTCTCTCCCTAATGGCCTTCAGTTTATCGTCTAACTTCTTCCTGAGGCCCTTCAGCATGCGGGGTTCGATCTCATAGTAGACGCCCGCCGTATCGGGAAGCTTCGTAGTGGAGATACCTGATGAGTGACAGGTTGGTAATCACGTCTAGTATGTTATCTTGATGTAATAGCTCACCAGATTGAGGTACATCGATTGCTCGCCCGTACGTTAGCGAAGCAAAGTTACTGAGCAGTGCAGCGGCGACCAGTAGCGATTTCAGCTGCATTTTGAACAAGTGCAAAGGTTCTAATAGGGACTAGAACGGCGAGGAAGATCTTTGAGACGACACGAAGTCTACTCCGATGAATAAGAGAACGTGGAAAAGCTTGTCTGAGTGAAAAGAAAACGAGGTATGTCCCTGGAATGAGATGCTAGGAAAGAAATGGAGGAGGTTGTCTGGTGGATATCCACTGCTTAACATGGAGTACTTATACACTTCATAACACGGGATATGTGTTCGTGCTTGTTGATTTTGGAAAATCCGTGAGCTCGAAATAGAGTCTCATCTGCTTCGCCGCGTGAAGGATGAGGTTCTCAAACGCAGGTAGAAAGAATTGGTCCAGACGATAGGATAGATCACATTCCATCGTTCTTGACCAAATTTGAGATACAGTCATCTCGACCAGAAGGCGGTGTTGCTGGGCGCTAAATCCGAGGTTCCTTGGTATCTTATGGGCGCTGTGTGCGACGATCTTGGTAGTGGAGAACAGGATCAAAGGAACAATAGCCATCGTCTTGTGGTCCAATGAATGCTGTTGAAATTGTTTCGGGTGTATTAAGTGATCTGATAAGAGCAAGCGCCGTTTACTAGACCTTGAAACACCTCGCCACACGCGTGCATCCGAGGTCTGCAAGGAGGCGGCTAAACTAAGTAAGGCGCGACGCACCTTGAGGTCTGCATTTTGGCGCGGTCCCCCTGTTCTATTGCCCCGTCTCACATCGCCGCTAATTTTGACTCTTTGCCACCATCATCTTCAGTGTGCCGCCCTCACCATCTAATCCGCCGTCAATTTTCGGCACAAGACGACCGTCCTACGTCCCTCTCTCCAATTGCAGAACTGTCTAATTCATCGATATTCTGTTTTCTAATACTAGCACATCAAATACACTACCTCTGTCCGTCTGTTCAAGATGGGCTGCGCACTCTCATCCGTCCCGTCACTATGCCGTAAACTTACCAGCAACCAACTTCGCCACGAGGAAGCGGTCAAATCCAATCCAGCGACTTTCGATCAGAATTTCAATCCATTCCCGAGACTCCCATACGAGTAAGATGCTTCCTATCCTCAACAAGCATTTAACATGGCACTGATCGTGGTACCGTTTCAGGCTTCGACGACAGATATGGATTGAATGTTTGTTACAGGAGAGTCCGCGAGTGTACGCTCTAGAACTTGACATCAATCTTACGAATGAAGATAACGATACCGACATGTATATGCGGCCTACAGATGTCAAATTTGCTCCTGCGAGACCATTTGATGGCAGAGACGAACAACGCGACCTCATCACCGCCACCGATGCAAGTCGCAGGATTGGTTCAACTTGCCGAGAAGCTAGAGACGCCACAGCCTTCATTCTACCAGACGTATTCGAGATGAAAGCCAACCCGAAACCTTGGCCGGGAACATCTCAAAAACCACACATATCGACGGGAAGTTTTCGATTCAACGCGAAGCGAGACATAATCGGAGTGGTCTCTGCTTATAGCGAGGAACTAAAGTTTGTTCGGACATGGACACGACGAGGCCACATACTTCCGAACGCCCAGATCATTCGACATGTAGCGCTCGACACATGCATGACTGAAGATGTACACATTCAGAACATTTGGTTGAAATGCCGTTGTGGAAAGCCAGATTGTGTGGTCTGCTCTACGGACCCAATGCTACAGTTTCTAAGACTGTTTCCGAACCTAATGTCGTTTCACATCTTACAACACTCTACCAGCTTCATGGCAGATGAACGGAGTGCCACGGAGGACGTGGAACCAGTGAGCTTATGCGATTGTAAGAATAGCGGAAAAGGGATTGATCATGACTGGCCCATCTTCAAGGGCATGCCTGATAACTCGCATTTCGTTTCCTACACGGAAGACAGTGGTTGCTCGTATCCCGAGCTACCGCGACTGGCATATGATAGAAACCCATGGGGATCGCGATGGCCATATTATGATACGCTGAAAGATCTCGACATTCGAATACTCAGGCGCGTGAATTTAAGCGGAACATGATCAATAGTAGCCCCTTCTCGGTTTCCAGATGCCCTTACGTCTAGAATATCTCGAAACGTCAATGAATTTGTGAGCTTTCGCAGAGCTTTCGCCGCTTCGTTTCATATCGAGACATAACGATTACCAGCCCAAGAAACTCCAGAATAACATTTTGAATTCGGTCTTGTACACTAATTGTTATTTTTAACTTTGGATTTCATGGTGCATGTACCAGTCAGCACTATCTTGAGTACAGAAATGTCAGCATGCACAGTATTGACGCGCGCTTCCAGTTCTATATCAACGCTTAACAATCCCACGGTACCTGAACCTTGAATTAACTCGGATGATACCCCAGATATGCCTTTCTATTCTTCGACTTCGCTGGGTATATTGGAGCAACAAGGCCAAGAACGTCTGCAGATCCTTACGGGACTCTAAAACAATATTGCCTCCTACTAAGCTTACCGAATTTGCAGACTACGCCAAGGTTGAATCATGTTTCAAGGCCTTTGCAACGCATTCGGAATTTTAGAAATCATGTTTTGATCTCAGACAGCACAGCCCATTTCGCGGATAAGCCACTATTTATCGCTATGCCAAGCACTGTGAAGAGTGCAGAGAGACAACATCAAATTTAAGGTATGTATATCTAATAGCTTCCTCAGTAGAGAACAGTAGGACAGAACAACACTTTTACAACATTAACAACTTCGAAGCATTCGGTTTCACATTTTCTCATTTTCTCATTTCCAGTCCACAGTTTTTTGTTCATACTCCGTTCCTTCTTCTTTATTCTTTTATCCCCATCGAATTGTTCCTCTTATTCAGCTACTCATTATGGCCTTTGCAGCTGCTATGGGAATCGATTTCGCCATCTCGGGCATCACCATGGCTGCTGCATTAGCACCTGTCGAGGAAAAGCCAGTAGCTCGTATAGGTATTGGTTCCACGATGCTTGGTGCAACGGAGGATGCTCGTACCAATGGCGTTATGCCGAATCTTTACTTATACGATGTTCATGGCAAAATGTTTGCAAAGCACGGTATGTTTTGATCGGTTCAGCAGTCTACCTCATGGCAGTCAGGGCTGATCTAAGGGTCCACACAGAATCAGGAGATCTCATTGAGGACGGAGTGAACAAGCAAAATGACTTCATTATTATAGATGGAGCAGAAAGGACGGCCGAGCCAGAGTACCTTACGATCCAGGCCCGGTCTGACGATGCTACCTGCGTCACTTGTACGTTACGTCCTCTTTGTTCAATCAGGAGAACTAATCGCCTAACTCTTTAGATGTGACCGTGACAGGTGCTTCGGGCGCCCAGCGAACCTGGCATGCCGGTTATGTGAAAACTTGCCAGGAGCAGGGCGGTGGAGGTTTCTATTATCCTTCACCCAACACAGTCCCTGACACAGATTTTCGACCGGGTTGTGTTTGGCTCAGCAACGACGACCGCTTCATGCAAGCCATTTCCGTTCACCTCCCGAGCTTTGGCTTTCCTGAGGAAAGTCTGGCTGAGCAAACCGCAGAACAGTTCAAAGATTACCCTCAAACCCTCTGTCAGGCTCCAGGCCGAATGTCTCTCTACAAAACTTTTGATGGCGAGCAACCGGAGTGCATCCCGTACTACAATAAGATCCTGGAAAAGTTCAAGGAGGCCGATGTGGACGAAGAAAAGGGCATAAACGAAGGCTTCGATAAGGACTTCCAGGCTGTGGTAGACGGACATACACTGCCACCACGAAAGTTCTTCTTCAAACCCTCCCGCAAGGCTATTTCCCGTGAACGCACCTGCGACTATTCTAAACACAAGCTGTTCAACCAAGAGATCCAACCTGGCAAATCACCTGTGGAAGATTCGCCCCAAGCTCGCAAGGAAAAAGAAGCAGCAGAGAAGAAGAAGCAGGAAGACGCAGCAGCCGCTGACCGAGCAGCAGCGGAAGAACAGGCGCGCAAAGATGTGGAAGACCAATTGAACGAGCAAGGACAGAATCCCAATGGAGCACCATCAGGTACCGGCAGTTTTGGCGGCGTCGCGGGATTGATCCCAGCTGATCAGGCAGGCAAACCCGTGGATCCAGCGGAGGCAGCGAAAAATTTGGAGGAGTTCAAAGAGGAGCAGGCGGAGAATCCGGTCAAACCTGTACCAGCAAGTACGGCCCCGACGAGCCAGCCGACTGGTGATCCAACTGCTGAGCCTATCATTGATATCAAGCGCCGGGGCGCGCGCTCACTTCAACAGGGGCAGCAGGATGAGGAGATCAAGAAGATGCTGACGAGACGCGAACAGCTTCGCGTCAAGGGAGACTACTGTGTCGATCAGTTGAGGATCAGTCACCATGTTGAGCATAGTGCAAGCGAGTTGTGTGGGATGGATCGCTCATGGGGCCCGGATTTCATCTCTGTGGTGGAAGGCTTGTATTGCGATATGTGCGAGAGAGATTTGTATCCGCTTTGCGCAAATGAGCATCAGACTGAATGCTTCGATATCGATGAGAGAGTTTTGAGGAGTTCAGAGAGCTTAAGGCAGAAGGCTAAGAAATATATTAGTGTAGAGGTCTGGCGCGTATAGATATGTCGCAGACTGGAAAATAGGATACAGCGCGACTTATAGAATGTAGGTAGATACAGTAGAGTGGTTTATAGCTATTGACTTTGAAACTAAGATGTAGCCTCTTACTAGGCCTTCGTTCACCCGTAACAGTTTAAGTCCGCTTGGCGTCTGCATGAACAGCGGCACGGCCGGATAAATATAATCGTTTGCCTTCCCATCGCAACTAACTCATTTACCACCCTTTGAAACTCATCCTCCACCATGGAGCCAATCTACTCGCGTGATGATTGCATCGCCACGATTCGTGACTTCTACGACTTCTTGGGCAAGATGTTCTTGGATGTACCCGCGTCCATCATCTACCCACCTCCCGGCGGTTGGCCCAACATGACTCCCGAAGTCATGGATTGTCTGGGCAAAGATCTAAAAGTCATAGATTTGCTGCGTCATCTGCCATTTCCAGATGACCAGCTTTACACAGCGCGGCCAGATTGTTTGCCCGGCTTCTGGTTCTATGCCTGGAAGACTTTGGCGGACAAGCTGAAGGAGGAGAAGGCAGACGGAGAAGATTTGCTACTCGCAACAGAGGGTGAAGAAGACCAGTTTGGCGGCAAGATTCCTAAATACTGCGTGGGCCTTACGCACGCGCTCAATATCAGCGAGCACGTAATGCTGTTGGACATCGAAACTGGGCTGGTGTATTAGATGAACTGCCCAGAGGAAATCTTGAAGGCGTGCGATCCTCAGCCATCACATCTGGTGGATCAGTCTGAGAGCGAGGCAAAAGCGGAACAAGAAAGAAGCGCCGCTGTTGCAGAGGGACAAGAGGATGACGCCGAAGATTCAGACGACGAGGATAATGAGTCTAGCGATTCAGAGGACGATGACGAGTCGGAAGACGTGAAATGGGGACCCTGCTGGCCGATCCGTCAATTCTTCATGATGTTGAAGAACCACTTCATCAAGTTGAACTTCATTCTTCATAGTAGTTCGCGCATCATTCAAATCTGGACCGGGCGATACACCGTCCATGAACAAATCCCAAAAGGTGTTCCGGAATTTCTACAGTCTATATATCACAAACATGGGTGGCCTAATCTAGAGGTGTATCAGAAAGAGGCGTGTTTGGAAGAGCTCAAGGAAGCGACAGGAACTAAAGGTACTAGATACTACAACCTCAATCAGTACTACCAGAACCGTGGATACTAGAAGAAGAGTCGGGAACGAGGGGGGGCGAATAATGCAGTATCAGTTGATATGACCCAGACCGTGAAGCAGACTTAGGCATTTAAATAGCATATAGAACAAGGTTCGCCTAGGTTAAAGCCCCGTTCCAGAGTGACCTCAAAGCCTAAAGTCCTGACCAGAGTTGAGATACAACCCCGCTGGAATGCGTACGGGACCCAATAAGGCCTTGCTTGCAAGCTGACTGTGGGGACTTTTGAGGCAGGCACCAAGATTTTAGTATAGCCTTGAATTAAGACAAGTTCTTGATAAGCTATTCAAGCTCCTTGGGGATGAAATGTTTCTATAGCATCTGATCGTGGCTAGTATAGGCCGCTAACAGCCTGGAGAGTCTCTAGTACCTTACCTGCTTGTAGCTGGGCTCTATAGCGTTAGTATGTCATAACAGTAAGGCTCTCTACACCCATGCAGTGGTACTGCACCCTACAGATGCACAACATACGTCCTTGCTTTGACCGATATTGAAAAGTGCCGTGAATACCTTCAAGGTAAATCATAGGCACAATCAATTGAGGTCGAGCTTTTCGGTAATGAAGAGGAGGGCAAACAGATGCGCCACAGATTGTTGCAAGAACTGTTTGTCATGCTTTCTGCTGCAGCGCGTGTTCAGAGAAAGCGATACACAGCCAGCGATACGGTCTCAGTCGGACATATCATTGCGAGACGAAACAGGTCAATGGAAGCAGGTACACCCTTGTCGTCGACCACCTCGATAGTGCTGCAGTAGGTGAACAGAAGTATTTGTTCAGCGCATCTTCGATCGTTGTTGTCGTACGTTGTCCTATGGCGCCACATTCACCGGCAATGCAAATTCGGTAATTCTAGTGATGATCGCTAGCAAGATATTCCAGAACCTATCAATTGAAACCTAAGGAGGACTTTGAAGGAAGGGTTACGCTGTTAGGTGAGTATATTCGTGTGTAAACGGCTGTTGAGCACGTACGATAAAGGCGTCCCTGAACGAACAGCAACGGTCAGTCCAGTATCATTATCCACGCGGTGCTATCTCGGCTTGACCTCGCTTAATCTCTATTATTCGTGTTATGCCATGCGCTTGCAAGGCGCAAGCGCATTGTGTGGTACGTTGTCGGCATTGAAATAGATCTGATAAGAACCCCGTGATGAAAAACATTGCATGAACGCTACTCAGGTTTACGTGTGACCTGCCTTCTCGATGAGCATATCGTTTGGAGAATTTTCGCATTACTTTCTTAGTGACTACAAAACCACTGTGTGGCTATCTTACCCTCTTTTAGTGCCATTCATGCTGCGAGTGCAATTAGACTGGTAAATGGTTATACCATACCGAACCTCAACCCACGCTTTGACCACCCCTAACCTAAACCCAACCCATTAACCACTCTAAGTGCGATATGTAGATTTTCAGTTCAAGATGATCAGACACTGAACGTCCTCTAACCACTAGTATTGATGCTACCTATACCAATAGCCTTACTTATCTCCCGCCTCCTTAAACCCAACAAGCTCATTGCTCATAACCCATAGCCTCTCCTCGCCCTCAGGGTCATATGTCCACTCTACGTACCCAGATTCCATAGGTCCCCACCCCTCTTCGACCGGCTTACTTACCTGACAGTCGTCCAGATACAAGCCTCCCCTCCCCTCCCACACGTGCGCCACAGCTGCCCACACCGTCGTAGCAGCACCCTGCTCTGGAGTCTTTCGCGTGGCGGCCAACACAGGATCCTTGGCATAACTGGCGAACTGCTCCTCTGGAATGAATTTGGCCAGCGCTGTGAATATGACGCCAGGGTGAAGTGATAGGCCGTGGAGACCCTTTGCCCCGTAATGTCGCTCAATGTAGTTTGCAAACCAGATGTTTGCGGTCTTAGCATGGGCATAGGCATGCTCCGGGTGGTATTCGCCGTGACGAAGCTGGAAGTTGTCGAGCTTGGGGGGAAAATAGCGATGTGCCATTGATGCTACGCTGACTACGCGTGAGTGGAAATCGGGCCTGGTGGAGGCAAGGAGCGCAGGTTTGACGAGCTGGAAGAGCAAAAAGTGCGCGAGGTGGCAGGTGCCCACCTGCAGCTCAAACCCGTCTTCAGTAGTGCCTTCAGGACAGGACATGATGCCGGCATTGTTGATAAGGATGTTGAGTTGGTTGTTACTGGCGGCCAGGAATTCGGCGGCGAATTTGCGAACAGATGTGAGCGAGTTGAGGTCAAGGTGGGAGAGCTCGACCTTGCCAGGCTCAAGGATGTCGCCAAGGGCTTTTTTGCCCTTCTCAAGATCACGGACTGTGGCGAAGATGCGCGCACCAGTCAACTTGAGGGCGCGGACGGTCTCAATCCCTATACCAGAGCTGCAGCCAGTAATCAAAATGGTCTTCCCAGCAAGCTTGCCATTGAGACCCTCATCTTTGATAATCTGCTCCGCAGTTGGGCGCGAATCGCCGGGGCCCTTAGGACTTGCGTGGACAGCAGCGTAACGCGTAAACTCGGGAGAGCTGTATTGAGCTGGGTCGAAAGCTGGGAAGGGCATGTTGCTGGAGAGGTGCAAAATCACAGAACTTCAACAATAAGAAATGCTGAGTTTGAATGTAAGAAGTATGATCGGTAAACTTGATACTGTGACTTGAATTGACAGTGAAAGTATGAAGATGTCTTATATAGTACATTAGCTCGGTAGATATTCGGAGGCTGCTGCCATAATGCCACGGCCAAGGGTAGAGTTCAACAAAAGATTCTCGAGTGAAAACGGTTTCAAAACATGTCGATTTTGACCTGGGGATGGGCAGATTCCCGTTCAGGTTCTGATTAGATCAATCCTTAGTTCATCGGACGTGCACTTGATTATTATATGGGTCGGAGTTTTCGGAGTTAGGGCGGACTTGTTTGTGCAACAATCGTAGGTAGCCAAGACGCTTGGTTGTCTTAGCTGTCCAAAGAACAACCGTCTTCTCGAATATCCAATGCTCAGTCTACCAGTACCGATTTTCATCTCTTAAACCTTTCTGCCGTGCCTTGCCTTTCCTGCAGCCTTGGTTTTATCTTCCACCACTTTGCTCTCTTCTCTTCGCGCGGTTCTGCTCTGATTTTCCATCGCGGACGCATGACGCGTTTTACGTACAGAAGGCTGGTTTGATAGTCCGGAAGTAGCCGTAGCTACGGAGGTAGACCTTTTGGCCTTGCCTTTCGCTGTGATATCGGATACGAAGGGTAACGCTTCCTCATGCTCTTTCATATCTGCCTTTGTTTTACCACAGGTGGTCTTCGCTTTACGCTTCGGGGGTACCCTGGCCTTCGGGGCGGGTACTGGTTTTGACACCAGAGGAGTGGGCGCTGCAGAACTCACAGCTGCCTTACACCATGCCCGTGTTCGTGGTGTTCGTGCGTCTTTTGGAGATGGCTTGAAACCGTATTTGTTCGTGGCTGGTGCGGCTTTAGAGGAAGCAACACTGGATGCTGGTATATCCTTGCGGGAGTTTGTTCGACTGAGCGATTGATTGCCCAGCATTGAGGACTTTCTCTCAAGCTTGGGCTTCTTACTAACTGGAGCGGAAGTATCGGAGTAGTCTTCATCAGCTTCATCATCTTTGTAAGGCGTCTCAATGGTCTCTTGTGCGTCTTCGAAGGGGATACTTTGCTCTTCTGAAAGGTCTTCAACGTCTCCAGGCTCGCTAATTCCAGACGATGAATCATCATCGCGTGAACCACTATTGTCTATATTAGGATTATCTTCGGCCGTCGGCTTGACGTCCCCGTTCTGGTCAGCGTTCCGTGTTCTCGTTACTCTGCGAGCGTTCGTGAAGAGTCCTCTTGGAGGCGTGGTAAGTGCTGGTAATGGAGCAGGCTTTGCTGTGTCTATCTTGGATGCTGGAAATAATCCTTCCTCTTCCTCTTCGTCTTCCATAGGTTCATTCTCTTGTCTCTTTGCAGGACGAGCATCGGGACCCTCCATGACAACCATTACTAATGCTTTGGAGTTCTCTTGCTTCTCCATCAGCTCTGGAGTAGCTTTAGGCTCTGCCATGGGAGGTTTGTCCATCTCCAGGGTACTAACAGTAGCACCGCTACCTTCAACAGAGACGAATGAGTCGTGGTCGTTGCCGCGAACGGCTGGTGATTGTTCGAAAGCTTTCGCACGTGGCCTGAGCTTACCCAGTCTGTCCAGCTTGAAAAGCTGCCGTGAGATAGGTATCATGTCTCGCTTCGCGTTTGAAGGGCGATCTCGGTATTGAGTTGAGCTGAGACCTTGAAGCTCACGGTGGGAGACATTTTGTCTGGATTTTGATATGCTGGGGACTTCTTCAACTGGAGGAACGTACTTGCTGAGTGTCACTGGAACCTCAACGTCGCTGTAGTGCCCTTCCATACCGGTATCGTCGCCTTCGTGATCAGAACATCGCATCTCCGTATCACTACTCAAAATCATGCTCTGCGATTCTTCATCCGCCTCGTCCATAAAAGTGATCTCCTTCTCTGCATTGACCGCACCACGTCTGGTCTTCGCGAACGATGGCTGGGGTTTGAATTCCAGCTCTTCGAAAACCTTACTCCGCTCCTTGACGGCGCTAGGACGTGGCTCCGCAGGCGTACCCCTCCTCGCCTTCTTCCTCGGTGGGGCGTCTGAGTCTGTCTCTGATGCGTTCTTGGTCGTGTTTGACGATTTAGAGCGTTTGCAAATAGTTCGACCTTCTGGTGCTGGAGTCGGCGTTGGAGAGCCTAGAGGTAATGTGGATGGCAGTGGAGGATATGTATCCTTGGCCCTGTCTTGATCTCCAATAGACGAACTGCCTTCTACGAGACCGTTCTCAGGTATCCAATCGGCAGTTTTGCTTCCTTCTAGGTCGGATATAACCACCTGGTCTTCGGCTCTCGCGTCAGGCGGTTCGACCTTGGATGGAGACAGAAGATTCGACGGCCTCTGAGCTAGCTGTGTCGCAGATGTGTTCTGTTTGCTTGTCGATGCTTCGGCAGTTATTGGCCCTAACCCTTCATCACCTAGTGCATCATGTTGAGACGCGAAGGGTAGTGGCGGCAGAGACGCTCTTTCCTTGAATTGCTGGGCTGGTAACGGTGCCTTCAGCTGTGAACTGTGTCGCGCAGATACCTGGTCACTGATGATCTCCGGAGATGGTTTGACGGAGTGAACGTTGTGATCACGGTATTCCGATGGCAAAAGCTCGGCAAGACCAACGGGAGATATGTTGTCAGCTGCATCTTGTAGCTGCGTTTCCCTAGGCCCATCAACGTTCTCTTCCCTCCGCGATAGTACCTCAGGAGATACTGGTGAACCAGTTAAATAGCCGTCGTTCAGCGCCGAAGGAGTGGCTTGACTGACAGTCGTATGTTCAGATCCACTTTCTGTCGCATCACTGATCTGTGTGTCTCTCTTTGGTACGTCAGGAGCCTTGGCGGTTTGCGCGGGAATCACCAAGTCTGATTCGTGTACGGTGCGGATACTGTGGTATGGGGAAGCTGGCAAATGAAGAACAGATGAGGCCTTGACCCCGTCGTTGTGGTTTAAGCTGACACAAGGTTCCGCCTCGGCCGCGATGCCACCTGCAAAATGCTTTTCTTGATAGGCCGCCGGCTCAGGCATCATAACTGTCCCTTGATCTGTAGTCATCCCGCCTTCAATCTTAGAACTGATATCACCACATCTAGCGGCAGCGGCGATCGATACACCGTCAATGTCCATGTAATCTTGAACCGCAGCATGTTTTCCATCGTCGATACGCGAATCCAATTCAACATGCTCGGCAGGTGAGAGCGACACAACAGTCTCGGTGACTTCGGTGACAGGCGCGATATTGTTCACTAATGGCAGGTCCTCTGAGTCGAAAGCTCGATCTTCTGGTCGGTCGTTTGATAAGTGTGTTCTTTCACGTACGTGCGCAGCGTCGCCATTGAAGAGATCACGGTCTTTGTCTTGACCGATTGGGCACAACGTGCCAGCAATACTGTCAAATCCTTCCTCATCATGAACTTCGCTATCCGATGTACCAGGTTTCTGCTCGCCCTCTTTACCATTCGACCAATCAAAATCTTCAATCTCCCACAAGCCTTCCTCCCAATTGTCTGCGAGCGGGCTGTATGCGTAGTAGTCCGGCGGGTGCGCCTGGTCGTTGATTCGGCCATCGGCGTAAACAATCGGCGCGTCGTTTGTGTAACCTAGCCCTTCCAAAGACCAGACTACCACGTCTTTAGTGTCCAACATCTCGTGACCAATCTTTCCGGAGAGAACTTCGTAGTCGACCAGCTCACCGAAGAACTCCGTGCTATAAGCTAAAGTAGAGGGTAAGTTCGGGTTGTTAAAGACGGCAAAAGATTCCTCTGAATCGTATTCCAAGTTCATGCTGTGGTGGAGGAGTAGATACGCGCAGCCGTTATGTAAACAAACTGATCTCAAAGCGACAATCGTGCAAGCGGTGTTTTGTCGACCTGGGACCTATTGCTCTTTCACGCGTCCAAAACAAGGTATTGCTACCAGTGGAAACAGGCGCTTCTTTCCGCTATCTTTCCATTATCAATTCGATCTTCGCATGCGCTCTTGGTTCTGTGACTGTTGAAATAAGTTGAAAGTGCAGCGCTGGACATCAGCAAGGTAATCGTTTGTTGTGGGCGATCAAGAACGTCACAATTCCACAGTGTGCTGTCGCGAGACCTAATTTGGAAAACTCAGAAAGTTTTTTTCGCTTGTCAACGTTAGGTCTCAAAGTGAAGGTGAGTGAGTGAGAGCAACGCGTCCTCACGTGTTGACGTGGTGCGGTGTGCCTAGCCGAGCAAACCACGAGAGGTGTATCATGCCTCACCATATATGTCACCAAAAGAAAGTTGAAATCGTGTACGTATATATTAGTTTGGTTAGGTCTCCAGTTGCTGGTGGGTATCATGTTCAAGTCCCCAGCGCCTCACCAGTCTTCCAATTCTTGCTCGGCCAAAGGTGATATTATGTGCAAAGTAGGTGTTGGAGAAGAATTTGTAGTTTAGGAAAGTCGCATATGCTTTGTTGTATCGCTTGAGGCCCGTCATATAGGTATCGCATTACTGATTGAGTTGCCCGTGTCCACGGGCAGGGCCAATACGCTGCTGTGGTCAGTGCTGAATCTACAAATGTTTACGAAAAACTCACCTCTTTCCCGTATCAGTTGCGCAGCAGCAGCAGAGCAGCGACGCAGGCCAACAGAAGATCTATGAAACATGAGTGATTGATCGCGCGCGATTGAGGTGATACCTACAGCCATGCCCACTGTGACTACGAAGCCGATAGTAGGTCCAATGACTTTACAATGACATGGGTTCTGGTCACTTTTCGCGTGTCCATAGTTAGCATAACGCGTAAGCTTTGGGCCGGCGAGTTACATACGTTCCGCACTGGAAGCACACGATCGGAAGAGGCACGAAGTCGCACATGTTGACAAAAGAAGAATAGCAGAAAAGCTGGGAATGGCTTCTTTTTTCTTAGCGATAGTAGATGCGAGATGGAGTTTTGGACGTTGCCAAGTGAGGAGATGCGGAGTGGAGATAAAGACGTGGGAAGACTGAAGTTGTGATGCTTGTTGTTGCGCTAACCTACGTCATCTCCGGGCGATCGCGAATCGGAGACACGCGTCAGCCACATCATGCTTCTTCAATTCGATCCTTCGCATTCAACAACGCTTAGACCTGTCTAGCAAATGCAGCTATGTACAAGATGCGTTTCCATGAACTTGTTTTCGGACACTTTATCTGACCAATGACTGGCAAGTGCCTGGTCTGTATGAAGATTGGGAACAAGAGCGCGGCCAGCTTGTGAGCATGGCCCGCGTGCTCGGGCTTGTTTGGTCTTGTCTCCAAGACCTTTGTTGCGAACGCGCCGAAACGCAGAGTGTGGACGCCAAAATCAGGATCTGACGACTGCCTGTAGCCCCGTTCAAGACTCGCGCAAACCATCAAGAAGCGCTATTAACGATCAACCCTCTATCTCTTCACGTACTAATTCCAGCTCGACAGTCCTTTGGCCTTCTCGAATCTTGCCCTTCAGGCCATCGTTATACTTGTCGAAACAAAGCCTCCATAGCCCCGGCTCGCCCTCGGTCTCAACAGCAATAAACCCCTCCCAACCCTCGAAAGTATACCGCTTCTCCCCGTTCGAGCAAAATCGGGCATCCCAAGGACCTGCTTGGCCCTCTTCTGCATCAACACGGAGTCCATGGCTAAGCTGGAAGATGTCCGAGTCGGTGTCTAGATATACCCAATTGAGCTGTGGCGGATCATTTGAGATGGTAGATACAATGCCTTCGTAATCCTTCTTTGGGAAAGGCAGATAGTATCCGGTGAACGGGTGATGTGCCGGTCCTTCGTATGTCGATAGCTCAACGTACAGTCGCCCTCCACAAAGTACGATTCGACTATTCTTGAACAACTCTTTGCGGTCTTCTGGCGTCCTCGCAGTCGCTCGGCATCGCATGTGGCACCTCTCGCCCTTCCAGTCCTCATCTCCGTCGGCAGCGGCATCGTTCTTCGCGTTCTCGGTTTGACTCTGTAGGGCGAGAACGGATGTCGCGGTCAAAGGAACTGTTCCCACAAGAGCCAGCAGGCCGAAGACCATCTTTCAAGGTTTACAGACAGTGGTAATAGTAACCCGAAACGATCATGGGTGTTGTGACTTGTTGTATATCTACCAAGGTATAGTGTGTGCTAGCTGATCAGGCCTCACTACTAAGGTATCTATCGCAAACCCCACATCACGACGCCAGAAAAAGAAAAGCTACCATACGCACCTAGATCATCTCGCGTAGAAGCCCATGACGAAAGTCAAAATACGATTCTAATGTGGCTGCATATATGGAGTGCAGAAGCCAATCAGAAAGCTAGTGGGCGGATGGTTTCCGGTTCCCGCTCCACTTAGCTCCAAGATGATCGACATGATCGATAGTGAATGCCGGGGCCAATGACGAACAACAAACCCCATACGGCTGAGCTGTGGAAGTTCATAAGTTGCGACGCTGCTTTGGGCGAGACGCGATGACCCTTTTGAGAAATTGTAGTCGAAGCTACAGCATTAGCTGACAACTTCACGCATCTCCTGCATTAGAGTCATGGGTAAACTTGAATCGCATGCAAGCTCATGGCCAATCCAACACTCATACTCGTAAGGATCACCTCGCCGACCCGTAGATCGATGATGCAGCTTCGGCTGGTGGATGCGGTCACTTCGGACGTGTCCGTCTAGTACCTTGCGTCGGGAAGTTTATCAATCAACGTATGCTCGCTCAGTGCTTGCAACTTTCCCATTCATACCCCTCGATAGCAAAGACGTGAGAGCTGGCGTGGTCAGCACAACTCCCGCATCGCAGAAAAGCGACGATACCGCAATTAACTTTACCTTCACCACAACCGCAACCACAACTCACACCTCCGCAAACCCCTGATAGCGAGATCGCCCCAGAATCAGAGTTTAAAATGGCGGACAACCTAACAAAAAAGTGGGTGTTTGACGCTTTCAAAACCTCTTGCCACATTCTAATTCACGACCAGCTTGGGCGACACCGCCTCCAACGCAACTGGCGGCCGTGAGGGAGGACCCGGCGAAACAATCGGTAAACTAGGCAATACCGTCACCTCCACAGTATCCCCAAAGAACAAGAAGAAGTCGAAGAAGGGGGGCAACAGCAATGATGAAGAGGATGAAGAAGCGAACGAGGGCTTCGGTCTTGATAATGGATCAGATGTAAAAGGCAGCCTAAAGGTGCATATCAAGTTGGATCTGGAAGCCGACATTAAGATCTATGCGAGAATTAGGGGAGATATTGCTATTGGAATCTTGTAAGAAAAACATGATACAACAAGTACTGTTCTCACAGGATTGTGACGTGGACGTTTAGACCCTTGGCAGTGATCATACTCACTGCGCAATTAATACAGGTGACTGTAGCTCATAGCGTCGTTTCCTTCGTCAACATGAGATTGTATCGCGCAGTGTAGACCTGACGATTTCAGTGACAAGACTAAGGCGTAAGTATCGTGGAGTGTAAAAGTGAGCACTCGGCGGGGACAGTGCAGGCAAGCACAACGTCAGTCGTTTGGGTCGGTATTCTACCCATCGTGAGATGAAGACTGCAAGATCAAGTAAAATCGCAGACGCAGTTGACTGATTGATGTGCGATGCAACGATCTACCCAACCTTTCCTGCCTCGGCTAGACGCGCTGGACCCTGAACGTCAGGCCGCATACCAAAAATAATGCTGAGAGTCATCCACAATGTAGTCGAACAATGCGCGGGCCGCTACCCCACGCCTTTCCAGAGTTCCAACGGTCACTCCATCGATTGTTCTGTTCGCGCCGCAGCTTTCCCAAGCTTTCGAGAGTTCCACGACGCGTCCAATTTCGGGAAGCGCATGGGAGAAGAGGGAACATGGCGGGGTATGAAGAATGGTCACAACAGCAGTTGATTGCCAGGATACAGGAGCTGGAGAAGCAGATAGGAGGGGACGCACAAAGAGCTGCTGAACTGGACTCATCCCCGACAAGCGAACCGACGCCCGCGCCTACAGAATCCCTCAAGCCATGGGAGTTGCGCACAGCCCGCAAGGCACCGCCGAAAGCCTTTGATGCTTCGAAATACAGCACACGGTTAATCGCGCTGAAGTTTGCCTACCTAGGACAGAAGTACAACGGCTTCGAGCATCATAAAAACAACACCACACCATTACCTACAATTGAGGAGGAGGTCTGGAAAGCGCTGGTCAAAACACGTTTGATAAATCCGATACCCACGGGCGGCGACGAAAGAAGATATGAGAGAATTGATAGGAAAACGTTTGCGAAATGGGATAGGGAAGGTGCTGATGTAAACTGGGACGGCTGCGAATACTCGAAATGCGGACGGACGGATCGGGGCGTGAGCGCTTTTGGGCAGGTCATTGGAGTGAGGGTCAGGAGCAACAAGCCATTGCCAAAAGTCTCTGAGCCTGTACAGGATGCCGAAGGAGGAAAAGAAGCGGATAATGAAGAATCAGCGTCTTTGTCAGACGACGTCCAAGACACCCCACAAAAGCCGTTCAACGATCTTACCGACGAACTCCCATATATCCAGCTTCTGAACCGTGTGTTACCCCCGGACATTCGTGTCTACGCGTGGTGCCCAAACCCGCCAGAAGACTTCAGCGCTCGCTTCTCGTGCAAAGAACGGCGGTACAAGTACTTCTTCACCAACCCTTGTTTCGCACCTGTACCTGGATCTTCTGGGCAATACAAGACCAACACCAACTACAACAACTCCAAACCCGTTGCTACTGAAAACCAAGAGACAATGCGCGAAGGCTGGCTCGACATCGAAGCCATGCGAAAAGCCTGCAAGTCGCTAGTCGGCCTCCACGATTTCCGCAATTTCTGCAAAATCGATGCAAGCAAACAACTCACAAACTTCCAAAGACGCATCTTCCACGCCGACATTGAAGAAGTGTCCTCACTGTCTGTGCCAGGATTCCTCTCCCACCCCGCTCTCTCTGCGCCCTACACCAACGGAGAGCAACCAAAACTATACTCATTCACCCTTCACGGCTCCGCCTTCCTCTGGCACCAAGTCCGCTCTTTAGTCGCCATTCTCTTCCTGGTAGGCCAAGGTCTCGAGTCACCATCTCTAGTCCCCCAACTCCTCGACATCACCGCCAACCCTCAACGACCAAAATACGAAATGGCATCGGACGCCCCACTCGTTCTCTGGGACTGCATCTTCCCGCACGCGCACGAAGTCCGCAGCACCGAAGAGCGAGAACACGGCTACCAAGACCGACTCGAATGGATCTACATTGGCGACGAAGGAGGCAGCGAGCCTAAAGCCAGAGGAACAGCCAAAGGAGGGGGTCCTGCTACCATTGGTCGCGGAAAATGGGGTCGCGGCGGTGTCATCGACGATGTCTGGGAGGTGTGGCGGGGGAACAAAATCGATGAGACGCTTTCGGGGCTTTTGCTCGATAAGATTGCGAATCTGGGACAGTCGACGCTGGATGCGGAGGTGCCGGCTGAGCAACAGAGTATTGGGATAGCGAGGGGTGGCCCGAGGGTGTTTGATGGAGGGGATCTGGGCAGGGCCAAGGGAAATTATATGCCCGTGTTGCAGAGGGAAAGACAGGAAAGTGTAGAGGTGGTGAATGAGAAATACAGAGTGAGGAGGGGCATTCCTGATCGTATTCAGGCGAAGGATGAGGATGGGGATGAATAGGTGCTGGAGTAGTGAGGCGTACGAGGGATTAATCGGTATACAGGCCCTGCGGCTAGAATATCCGTATGCTTAATCGAGTAAGAAACACTTTATTGGGTATCATAATCTGTCACAGTTTTTCCATGTAGCTTTGCGTTATACATGCACCGATACACACTTCGTCCCCAACCTTTTGCATGCCAATACACCCATATGTGGCTCCCCCTCCCACCTTAATCTCCAGTATTCAACTCCAAATCAATCTGCACACCGTTGCTAATCGCATAATCCGCACACGTGAGATTATCATGAAACGGCCTCTCCCCCTGCCTCTTCAGCATAATCTCATGCACCGGTCGCCCAATCTTTGCTGCAACCATGGCTTTCAACAGCTTGATGGGGTCGCTGGGGAGGCAGGGGACTTGTGTCTTGGTGCCTAGACGGTCGTTGATGGTGACGAGAATCATGGGCTCGGAGGGTGCAGCAGGAGCCGCAGGAGCGGATTTCTTTTCTTTTGGTTTGCTGTCGCGGTTCGAGTCGCGTGGTTTGCGGTCGCGAGAGCGGGAGCGCCGACGGCGATCACGGCTCGAGTCTCGTCGTCTGTCGCGCGACGTATCTCGGGGACGGCGATGATCGCGAGAGCGGTCGTCATCGCGTCTTCGATCGCGGTCCGAGGAATCTCGCGGTCGCCTCTCTCGGTCTCGGTCTCGGTCGTCGCGTCGTCTGTCTGGGTCGCGACGCTCGCGGTCGCCTTTGAACTTGAGGTTGCTGAAGTTCTTGGGTTTACGTGGACCGGGGGATCTCCGGGGAGAGCGAGAGCGATCGCGGTCTGTTTTGGAAGAGTCCATCGTCACAGGCTTTACTCGAGAGGTTTGTAGTGCAAGGAGGAAGGTGGAATGGAGGTAAGCTCGTGTGAGGCAGCTTGGTAGAAAACGTGACAATCTTATCGATAAGAAGGATGCTGAGCGCGTCATCCCGTTCCCCAGGCTTTCTCCCACCCCCCACATTCCGCTGTCCATAGTTTCGATCCTCTAGCGATGCTTGCTTATATTCCAACACCATGTTGACACTCATTGACCGCTTAAACTCTCCGCCGGCGCAAACATTCCACGTGCTGCAGCCAACGTCGTCAACAATCACATACACTGTCTCGACGCGTCCTGTTCCCAAAACACTACCCGCGCTGGTAGGGTACTATGCGGGGATATTGTTGAGAGTCTCACTAGGCTTCATAAGCATACTATCGCTATGGTCAAAGTTCTGCGTCACGAATGAAGCTCGATACGACCCAATTCTAAGACTATGGAAAATGGGACATGGTGTGGAAGCGCACCTCGTCAGGCTCACAGAAGCTTGCCAATGGCGATACTTGATACCTACTGCATGTATCATGCTCTTTCTGGTTTTTCGCCGCAACTACACAGGTACCTCGCTCCCTTGATCCTATCTTCTGCGTTCTAAGCTAAGGCAATCTACAGAAGAATCCCTCACCATACTCCGCGGCCTCGGCGTCCAGACCTCGACTACATCTTTGACGTATCTCCAGACACCCACCACGCGCTTTATACCCACCACGAGCATACAGGACGTTTTCATACACGAGGCGTTCAAGGGATTCGAAGTGAGATTCTATCTCATGGTAGTAGTGGAGGACGAGGAAAAGGTCGTCGTTGTGTTTCCGAGATTGCTACCGAGAAGGGAAACGCTAGAGATCGTTTGGAGGGGCGTAAGAGGAGGATTGTGGGAAGACAACATGAAGAGTGCAGACCGGGAAAAGAACGTTGAGAGCAAAGCAGCGGGGACGGTAGAATCATAACATGAATAAAGTGCTCCGATATATGTCGTAACAACCACATGATTAGAACCTCGTCCGCGTCCTACACATGCTCTGAGGGTTTGCGTAAGCCTCCTCATTGAGCTGCCGTAACATTGTATCCATACCTTCAGCTTCGCTACACTTTTACATGCATCAGAGCTCCCCGCTTACAACACTCTATCCGGTTGCTCTAGCCTCGTGGTAGGAATCACGTCTGCTCTATTCTTCTTGGTATCAATCTCGTCCTATCCAAACCCCAATACGCCATGTATCCAGACCCATACCCGTGCCCAATTTTCTAGTACCTATACCTAGTACTATAGTCCTTCGGCGACACAACCAGACCTCTACCCTTCTTCGCCCCCCGATATACCGTCTCAATAATATCAATAAACTCCTGCTTATCCTCCAACACCCAGTTCAGCTTGTTATTGTTTCCCGTTCCAAAATCACACATCATGTGCTTGTTACGGAAGAAGAACATGACAGTGCAAGGATCGTACAGCTCGTACATGGCCTTGAAATCGGGGACTTCGTCGAGGTCGCAGAGGTAGATGGCGCAGAAGTTCTTTACACGGTCGGCGATCTTGTAGAGTACCTCGTCTTGCGACATGCAGTCGGGGTCCGAGTCCCGGCCGAAGCGGATCAGAACTAGGCGGTCCTCCTCGCTGAGGATGGCTTGGTCGACGTGCCATCCTGTGCGCAGGTGGGGGAGGACTACGGAACCCATGATGGGTGGGTGGGTATGCGTGCGCGCGTGGAGTTTGGGTTGGAGGTGGGTGGCGGTGGAGGGTGAGAGGTCAGAGTATGTGGGGTTGACGGCTCGATACGGCGCGTGGATGTGTGCTTGATGCGATCGTAGGATAGGAATGGGCTGTGCGTCAAAGATTTTCGTATTGTTATGTATGCGCAAGTGTCGAATAGATAAATGGGTGTGCTGAAAGAAAGTTGCGTGAGGCAGCCATCGCGCCCGTGATCTAGAAAGTTCGGGACATCCCGAGCGAGATCGCCCCACCATCGCGTTCATCTTCAACCTCGACCTACAAATCTTCTACACTTCTCACCTAACTTATTACTACCCACCACTCCTGTAGCCTTCTACCAACTGATGTCGGACTAATGATATCGCTCTGTCATCGCCCCATCTTGTTGGGTAGCAGCGGACAGTCTTCGTATGCGGAATTGCACAAGAAAGAACATCTCGCATACTTTACTGTATGGTGCCACTCTTACGAGAAAGCATGCACGTAGGACGCCTAATTCACTGTCCTTGACAGGCGATCATTTCTCTAACGCTGTGTCTGTGTCTTCGCAACATCGTTCGGGTAGCTCTGCCTGTAAGAGAATGAGCTGGTCACCCTAGAAGTGTTGTGCAGAGTTGCTAGTCAATGGACCCAACTGCAAAATGCTCGTCTTCCAGTCCAGCTACCTAGGACCCTCAGGTCTGTTTACAAGTGGGGCGCACTCTATCCTGAATGTTGAATTGAAAAGGGGCATTGCCCAATCATAGCCCATCTATCCACGATGTGGGTGTGATGCGGGATGCCTGCGGGACGCCCCGCACGGGACCGGTAGGCCTTAGCGGAGTAGGGTCCGTCGACGTGTATACAGATGCAAGCCGCCTCCATCACGCACATGTTGCAGCGTTACCGGAGCACAACAATATTCAGATCCTTATGCACTGCATCTACAGTACCAGTGACTAAAGCCTGCAGGCGTATGTGTTCAGGATGCACGCCAGCACTTTACCACGATTTGTGCTAATCTAAATGCAGACATTGTCAGGTCAGAAGTGCAGCACGCCTACTATAGTAATGGGTAGCTGAAGCCATGCATCACACGGAATGCCGATTCGTCCTCGCGGTTTTCGAAACACCCTACCGTACCCTGACTGTATAGCTTGGTTTACCCTAGATGGGCATCGTATAGTGCAAAGATGACAGTGGTGATACCATTTCACGAAGTTTGTCGTCGATACTATTTCACGATGTATTGCATCCTCTCGTACCTAGGATTCAGACCATGAAGAGGTTTCATGCCAAATCCGGATAGCGATACAATTGCCATTCAGTCGGCTAGAAGCAACCTCAGTCTAACACAGGTCTGGCCAAAATGAGCAGCCTTTGTTACGTCTCAGTGGACACATGCTTTCACAATAATAACAAACGACAGGATATTCGCTTGATACTGCTTCTCGGTCCGATATCGTTCAACACACTGGCGTATGCCCACTGTATAGAAGTGGTTAGATCTACGCCAGTCACTAAGAGCATTGCACCTTCGACCGTCAGTATGCATACCGCGATGTAAATCTAGAGCTGGAGACTCGAATTCACGCATACGAATGGACTTCTTGGTATAACACACGCTACACCGCTCTTCCGCTATATGCGTACTTAGTGCATCTTCTGGTTACCCAGGTAATCGGTATCATGCATGTACTCAATAGGCTGGCCTTTCATACGATCACGCTGTAGAGAGCCAGGATCACACTGGACAGGTTCACGGTGTACTAAGTTCTCCCCAGAACTCGCATACGACATGACCGGTCTTGATGGGGACGTTCACGATGACCGGGAGGGTGCCGATGGAAGCTATTCGGCGGCAATGATACAGACTTGCATGCAGGACGAAACACTATCCGAAAAGGCTGTCGAACATCTTTCCAACAAAGCCTAGAGGTCGGAAACCCAGCTCTCTGGCTATCGAAGTAGGCCTGGCGATTTCTCTCATAGGCTCGACTCTTACTTGGCTTTTCAGGCATCCGATCTTAATGAGTGACTTTGAGAGGTCTAGATCAGAACGACATACTGTAGCACGAGAGATTGTCTAGCACCCTTTGGGAAGAAATGGAGTACGAGGAATTGCTTTTACCACCTTCCAACTCTACAAAAGCCCCCTCCGGTCCTCGGAATCCTTATTATCCTCACCATTATCTATTGAACACTACAATCAAACAACACCTTTGAACCAAAAACACCTTTGAACCAGAAACAAAAGGTCTGACTACACCGGCCCCGGCATGTACGAGATTCTCCCCAAACACGCTCCAGAAATGAGCTTCAATGTCTGGGGTGGTGCAACAACTGCTGGCACGCCCATTAAGATATATTACGTCTGCTTACCACGGCGGAATATCGCCGTCCTCGACTGATCGATTACTAGCCCGAGGACGAAGGACGCCATCAGTACCCACTTTGAGATTATATCGGCGGGACGCTACTACGCCCAGCCAAAGAAAGGTGATCGTGAATATCACATCATATGCGCAAACTCTGGTTTGTGCTTGTGCATGAATTGTAAGCTAGCCGCATCTTCCTACGACATATTCGTCCCCTGACACCTACATCCATTTAGATTCCGGTGGTGACTTCGGCACGATCACCGCCGAGGTTCGCCCTCCTCTTGACAACGACGTGCGCTGGAAGATTGCACACACTGGAAACGGTACTTGCACGTAAGTTTTCTTCTCCCGCGATTTTCCATGGGTAGGGATACGGCCTAACGTATAGCTTAGCATCAACAACGTCAATGGCAAGACAAAACAGCAGCTCAACGTTCGTGGTGAAGGCAAGGCCAGCGGAACAGAGGTGATCTCATACGCCATCAAGGAGGCTGCGAACACTCAGCTTATTCTCAAGGCTGTTGTTGCATAGGTAGTGCGGTCGAGTTTGTAGGCCGAGACAAGTGTTACGGTTGAAGGCAATATCAGACTCCTCAGTTGAGATGTAGCACGTAGAATCTGTCACTCCTTTATCAGATTGATCCGCTGTACACGTTAGACTACTTTGGAATGATTTTCAAAAGCTATGTATCCCAGCCGTGTATCGATTTTGACAAGAATGCCTTGCAACTAGACCAAATTGGTTACTTGAATTTCCGCTATGCAGGAATGTCTCACCTTTGCCTAAATTCAGTAGAATCGATTGATTAATTATGTGATCAATGTTAGCCGAGGTCTTTCGCAACCTAGCATCGTGCCTAGGTGCCATACTGATCTTTGAAGCTGAACATGTTCAGTGCGCCTGATGTAATCACCTAGATTTTCTGAACCCCCATCATGCATACGTTGTAAAAGAGTCTCATTCGATCATCAAAGAAGGTATTGCTCCTTCTAACTGCTCCATTCAAAAAGATGAGTCTACGCTGAACATCTTCTCGTAGATGCAGATTACAAAGTGTACCGGTAGAAAGGGCTCTTATCACCCATAAGCAACAACTCCTGCTCGGAATACCTCGCACGAATAGCATCTTCACCGTGCTCCGCGATCAGCTCATCCCTCAGTCTATTTTCCTTCGCATACGCCCACCTCAACACAAAAGTCATGAGAATGGCGGTACAGCACATGGCCAAACTAGCCGAAAAGCCTGTCGTGTACTTTGGTGCTTCGCGCGAAAGATAGATATTGCTTCCCATGATACCACCCATGTTTCCCACGGAAATCAAGAGAGCCATTCCAACAGCGCGCTTGGAAGATGGTGCGAGGGAGTTGCCAATCCAGGAGACAAGGCAGGTAAAGGGGCAGTATAGACCTCCAGCCACGGGGAAAAGGAAGCCATAGGTGATGCCAGGATAGGCGGGCTTAGGAATGGCTAGTTGAGCGATGAAGCCGCATACGGCAATCGAATAGCCTGCGATGATGTATGGGGAGCGCTTGCGTGTCAGATCGGAGGCCCACGCAAAGATGAGGGTAAGGATAGCGGCGAAAACGTAGATCGGGATGGTCATGAGTTGAGCATTTGCACTCGTGTAGCCGAGGCCTTGGATGACGGATGGTACGGTGGCTGTGAACCTGTATAGAAATATCAGACATGAATCCGTAGCACGAATCGTTGTCGTTGACTTACCCATAAACTCCAACCGTGTTTCCCCAGAAAATAACTGTAGCAGCCCAAATCTTCCAGTCCGAAAGCCCAGTGAGAATCTGCTCTTTGCTGATCTTATCGCTGTTGGTGGCCTGTCCCTGTCCAGACCCGGAATCATTGGACAATCGGGAGACCAGCAAGTCGCGCTCTGGTTGGGTAAGGAATTTGGCGGTTTCGGGGCTATCCGGGAGAATCTTCCAGATGATGAGCGCGAGCGCCACTGGGATCAATCCCTCGATTAGGAAGATCCACTGCCATCCTGCAAGTCCAGAGCGACCGTCGAGTTTCTCGATACCGTAGGCAAGTAAACCACTGAAAGCACCCGCGAGAGAGGCGGCTATATAGAAAACAGCCATACGACGCTGTAGTTCGAAACGGCGATACCAGAGAGTAAGCAGAAACGTTGCTGCGGGGAAGAAGCCAGACTGCGAGTGTAAGCATATGCTGTCAAGTCTGGGTTTGAATGTTTTCCACCTACCTCTGTCACACCCAAGAAGAAACGTCCTGCAAGTAGCCCACCGTAGCTGGACGTTAGACCCATGAGTGTCATCACGAGACCCCAGCAGAACATCAAGATTGCCATCCAATGGCTTGGGCGCATCATCTTGAGCACGATGTTGCTAGGTACTTCGAGAAGTGTGTATGGAACGAAGAACAAGGTGACTGCAGTGTTGTACTGGCTACCGCTCATTTTCAGGTCTTTCGTCATACCAGCAATCTTCGCGTTACCGACTACAATGTGTTAGTAATCCGACATAAGTTCATCCAAGAGCCTGAACTTACTGTTACTTCGATCGATGAACGCGACGAGGTAGAGAAGAGACAGCATTGGAACGAGTCTCATATCCACCTTCCTCAGCACACGGGCAGCCTCCTTCTCCTCAAGATCGATATTCTGCGCTTCGAGCTCGCCACTGCCCGATGAAGTCGAGATCTTCTCCGCGACATTCTCGGTCTGCTGGTGCTCAGCGGAGAGCTTGTCATGATCGAATGTTGTCGCCATGGTGTGATTGCAGGCGATATGGGAGAGAAAACTGGCAGGGCAATGCACGACTCCAACCCCGTGGGGAGCGTTTACCCTTTAATGCATCTCGGTAGAATGCAAAGCCCGAATCATAGCATCACAACGGCATACCTTCTTCGGCAACGTTACCCACCTAGCATGCATGCCTCGCCTCTCCAGGCTCCCCTCAACGCAATTGACCCTCTTGTGTGGAGGCGGATCAAACATATCTTAGCTTCTGGGGTACCAAGCGGCGTCTTTGCGGGGTAGTTTTGGCGGGATCATCATGCACGGCGTCGGCACGTGCAGCGCGATCTGCATGTCGTTGTGACGTATGGTTCGACCATCTGTCAAGCGGCACAGGATTAACTGGAGATGTGCAGGGGCGCATTTGCCGATCTCATAAGCCGCGGTGTCGGTGTGGGCATTTGTTGAAGGGCCGGTGGTGGATTTGGCGAAGAGTTGCTAGGTGGTTGGTCGGGTGAGTCCCTTCGGCGATAGCCCGATGGAAAAGGAAGTCCTGTCGGTAGCAGCGCCGCCTACGCTACCCTGGAGTATGTAGCTAATGGACATACAATGTCCGGAATCCATAACTTGACGCTGTCTAATTTTAGCCCACACGACATACAAGACATATCCAGGTCTCTACCAAATGTGTTGGTAGCCCACTACAAAGTGTTACTCATAGTTGAGGGTAGTAGAACCCATATACGGAAAAAAAGTTCTGCCTCGAGACGAGGTAGTCACGCACACAAGAACCATAACCGCGATACTTGAACCGGTGGCATTTGAGCAATCCGATGCATGCCTGGATTTGACATGTTCAATCGCGCCCACGTTCGAGCCTGCGCAACTTGCGTTTCCAGACATGCCCAATTACATGAGGTTGCACACATCAGCTTGAGTTTTAGCACCATCCTTGGTTGTTGTCTTTGCACATGTCTTTGCGACGTCCTCCAGCACTTGCCTACACAGCTCCCCTGTCAGCGCACTACATTCAGCGTAATGATCGCACAGCATTCTCTGCGCAGTCTGTAATCCCTCATGTGGCATGACACTCGCGCCCTTGCCCTTCTTGTCTGGGCCATGCTCCGCTAACGTCCATTGCCGCCTCAAATCCCTCTTAAGACCAAGGACCATTACAGGCAAGTTTTCATCGTAATTAAAGTGCTTGTTCACTACCGGCAGCCATGTCGAAGAAAGCGACTCGAGCGACGCGCGCGAGGCTATGTCGTAACAAAGGATCACGAATTGTGGGTGTAGAAGCGTATAGTTCTGGGGTGAGGCTGTGTCGTAGAATTGCAGCCTGTACGGCCGGCCATAGAGTGTGATATCGAAGGCATACGGCTGGTCGATATCGCGCAGCTTGGGAAGCTCATAAGGTGGGAGGTCGTCGTTCTGAGGTTGCACGCCGAGTGACAGGCGACTTTGAATCATCAGCAAATGAGACAAGACGTCAATTCACACGCTTTCGTCGCCGCTATCGCATGTCGCGCCGTACAGCGCGCGCCGGATGATAGTACTCACGACAAGAACGTCGACTTCCCTACTTCAGAGTCGCCCAGCAGCAGGACGGTAATCTCCGGAGGCAGTGAATTATATTCCATTGCGAGTCGTAGATGCCCCGCAGGCACAATCAGATATCAAGGTGGTTTCATCTTACCTTCTAGGAGAGTCATGAGAAGTGACGAACATCTGGGCGCGGAGATAGGCGTTAGCTGCACATGGTCTTGGCAACCGGAAAGCGTCGCTCCATCACTCGCTGCCTCTACACTCCTTCATACAAGCTCGCACATGTGTCGCCCATTCTACGAGACCGTCACCAACCTACTTCGAATTTGCTCACGCTAACGTGACAGTAGCTAACTGATCAAGAGCGTTCGCAGCTGCTGCTGCTTCGCGCCAGGTTAGCGTGCATACCTGGATTACAAGATTTGGCCACCCGTCACCGAAGCCCTGGCAACCACCCTGCTATACTAGTGTTAAACTATGGATAGGAAGCTTTTGTGCCTCTCAAGTTTGACAGCCTCGCGATAATCCTTATCTATATGACCACTCACACGACTTCGCAGCCACGATTACCTGTGCCTTGCTAACCCGCGTCCAGCAGTCTTGGCAACGCCTTCGACACCATGAACCAGGAGTCTGGATTCTTTAGAGCATTTTCGCATCCTTCTTGCCTACCACAAATATGATATCTTGCGTTAGGCACAAATCCGTGTGGCCATAGCAGAAGATAACGATTCGGACCTGCTTAGAATCGTAGAGTATGTACGCCAGCCAAGTACGCTTGCTGTCTTGGAGTCTTGGAAACGCCATCCCCGATTACCGAATCAGGAAGCTGGAAGCAATTCATCCGTCTAAGAGGCTGGCAATAGAAAGTACCAAGCAATCGACTTTGAATAAATAACAACAGGATGGCGACAGTCTGTGTCTGCACGACTTGCAACTTCTACTCGTCGCAGCATTCTTACCGCTGCCCGCCATGAAGGTCTCCACTCTCCTCGGTTTACTTCCTGGCGCTGTTCTCGCGTCAGATGTCCTGAGCGTTGCGTTCTACGCAAAGGAGAAGAACCAGCTATACGACTTCATCTCGGCCAACAGCGAGATCGATTACGGCTGCCGTCCTGTTGTCATGGCTGCAGGTGGCGAGCACAAGCTGCACGCTGTCATCTCAGAGGACCATTTGGACCACTTCAAGCGAAGTTTAGATCCAGAGCTCGTTCGCGTTGAGCTTTTGCACAACATGAACAAGCGACAGACTGCAACTGCACCTATCGGCAAGGGCGATCGTTTCAAGGGTGGAAAGGTCGCGCCTCGCGGTCTCGGTACGAGGAAACCCAGCGAGTACGCACAACTTCAGAATGCCGGTGTCTTCAACGTAGACGAGGTCTACACCGCCATGAAGGGTCTAGAGAAGGAATACGGCATGTCGCTTTTCACGACGCCGGAAAAGACCTTCGAGGGGCGATCGATCATTGGTGGTGTTGCCAACAAGGCGGAGAAGATCAAGAAGGACAAGCAGTACATTTACTTCACTTCTGGTATGTCTTCGCTCAAAATCGCATTTGAAGGATAGACTAACCTCCCGACTAGGAATTCACGCACGTGAGCGCGGTGGACCTGACAACCTGATCTACTTCATCTCTGACCTGCTCTATGCAAACGAACACCGCATCGGCCTGACCTACGGCAACAAGAAGTACACCAATAGCCAGGTCAAGAAGGCTCTTGGGGCGGGAATTGTGTTCATTCCTATGCTGAACCCTGATGGTGTGAACCACGACCAGGCAAACAGCACCCTCTGGCAAAAGAACCCCACCCCCGCCTCTTCTACGCCTGGTGTTCCTCTTAGTGTTGGTGTAGATCTCAACAGGAACTTCGACTTCCTCTGGAACTTCACTGAGAAGTTCGACCCCTCCGTTTCCCCTGCTTCAGCGAACCCCACTTCACAGGCTTTCTACGGCACCGCACCGTTCTCCGAGCCAGAATCGAGAGACATGGCTTGGGTGTACGACCAGTACCCCAACATTCACTGGTATATCGACGTTCACTCCGCTGCTGGAACCCTGCTCTACTCGTGGGGTGACGACGTCGATCAATCCCATGATCCAAAGCAGAACTTGTTCAACCCAGCTTACGATGGAAAGCGCGGTATCGTCGAAGACGAGCTGTACAAGGAGTACATTGACCAAGAAGACTGGGACAACATTCGTATGGCTGCCAACCGCACCACTGATGCCATGATCTCTGTCGGCGGCCGCGAGTATGTTCCCCAACAAGCTGTTGGTCTCTACCCTACCTCTGGTGCTACAGACGACTGGTCATTCAGCCGCTGGCACAAGAACAAGAAGCTCACCAAAGTGTACGGTTACACCATGGAATTTGGTTACCCAACCAACTTCTACCCCACAAGTGAGGAGTACATCCAAAATATCATTGATACTAATGCTGGTTTCATGGAGTTTATCCTCACTGCTGATGAGATTGGACTCAAGGCCTAGATCTGTAATGGTAGAACGTGGCTTATACGGTAGCAGGTATGTGGAAGTGACGATATTATGAGAAACGAGAGACTATATGTTGTAGCTGTAGCATTAAGAAGAGAGTATTACTCATTAGTCATTAATCTATTCGCTGCTAAAGCACGCCTTGAGAGGTATCATCGTACAGAATTATCATAGTTGAAAGAACCTAATCCGACACTTTCACAGCGAACGCATTTTGCAAAAGCTTCGTAGTGACGCAATGCCTCTCAAACGTAGCCGCCGTCTAACAATTGTCTTTCTTTTGACTTCGTTCTTTTGATGAAGGAGGTTGCGCCTGTCGCGTATTCGTACTTCGGCTGCCGAGCGCTGGGGCTTGTAGGGACGATGGTGAGCAATCTGATCTAGAAATTCTCTGCGGTGTAACGTTCTAGTTGGAAATTGGGTCGTGGTAAACAAAAGGCGAGCGCCTACTAATGGTTTTTGGCCCGCTGGAGCTGCGCTGATGGAAAATCGTGGTGTCTCGATCTTCTTCTCCACCTCCGCTGTGCCCTTCCTCAGCATCGCTATAGTCGTCTTCCATCTCCATGGCCGCAACACCTTCTGTCATTGCTCTCTTCTCCTCCAACCTAGTTTCTTCATTCCTCTTCTTCATCCCTTCAATCATCATCTCTGTCCCCCGCCTCCTCCACGTCAACCCCAACCTAAACGGCCTCCTTCCTGCCTCCTTCAGACTCTCATACCAATCTTTGTGCTCCGTATAAGCAAGCCTCCTATCCCACTTCTTCTCCGGCGTCGGCGCCCGTGGCAGACTTGCAACATGCTCAAACAACATGCGCTGTGCATGCGTATTGATGTCCAGCAATTCGAGGATACTCTCCTTGACATCTCTATCGAAGCACAGCCACTCTATTGCTGGTGGACTAGAATCAAGTCGGAAGCCGAGTGCTGAGCCGCCTAGTACGAACACAGATGGGAGGTAGGCGACTTCTAGGCAACCTGGGGGAAGCTCGTCGCCTGATGGTTCGGGGATGGAGGCTAGTGGATCAGGGCCTATGAGATGGTTTACATAGCCGTGTTGCTGGCGGGTGAGTAACGAGCGAAAGTCTGAGACGGAGATGAAGGACGTGGCGTAGTGGTATATCACGACTTCGTCTTCGAACTTGTGGTATTGGACTTGCTTTAACTTTATACCGTTAGGTCCGCGGAGGCCTCTTGGTAACTTTGGAGCTTTGGGGGATTGCGACTGGGCCTTGGGCGGGTTGACTTTGGGGGTTTTGATCTTGTGGGCTTTGACATGGTGGCGTTCATCATCTCCAGATGAACGATCTCGCTTTTTCCTATTCCTTGGTTTTGAGGTGGCTTTGGGTGGCATGACGTTGAGTAGCCGTTTCACACAAAATAGAGGTTAGTTGACGGTTGTACGATGTGAGAACTTGCTATCCGGAGAATTGGTTGGATATATGCATAGCGTGGAGAACTAGGTTAGCCTCATTGGGAAGGTTCAGGCAGTCTTCAGGGTCTTGTTCACCGTGATGATGAAATATCCTGGTAGAGAACATGGAGGAAAGCTGTATGAAGAAGCTAGTCCTTACCGAGTTGCACTCTGTGTATACCTACCAATCTTCGCGATCTGTTAAGAAAGCACCATTATAACTCTTTGAGGCGGCTTTTGGTACCTGGGGCTGCACTTAGCAAAAGAAAGCTCCATCAAAGAAGCTGGCAAGTTCTAGAAGGAGATGCGCCTTTTCGGTGCGCATACGCGTACTGCTAAATTCCATGTGATACTTTGAGGGCTGCGCATCTACACGGCCAAGAGAGTGGTGTCAATTGGGAGGGATGAGAGGTGGAATAGTGAGAGATTCGTAGCTGTCGAACCAGCTTATCACCTGCATTCGTAAAACTTGATATAGCCCATCAACAAGCCCTCTAAGGGGTGCACCACGTGCGCGTCTATTTTGCCCCCTTGCTTGGATTACGGGGATCTTGCGTGAAGACTATTGTCATAAGTGAAAGCTATAACTGAGAATCTATGCGTAATTGCATCATGATGCTGTCTAGCGACGATTAACAACTACTAAGATAGTCTTCCAACAAAGAAAGGTGGCGCTATGTTCAGTTATATCACATTATTTTAAGGAAGTACGCGGTACCTATGGGATTGACAATCTAGTTTGTCTGCCCGAAAAGATTGTAGTCGTCGATATTCAAAGTCTCGGCAGATATTCAGTTCACTTTATACCGCTTGAGAGTGAATATAGAGGTACAAGCTGCACGAGCAAGGCGCGTAGCTAGCTTAAGCAGATATTTCCATAATTATTTATTTGACCTTTCCATCTCTACTGCCACATATCGGAAACAACCCTCGAAACAATGTGGATTACAAGGCTCTTCGGGCTGGTTGCCCTCCTCGTTATTGTTACTGGCGAGATATGTCAAGAGTAGGTATTTTTTCCACAACCCCGGTACTTCTTGGGCTATATGATACGATTACTGACCCTGATCTGTAGCTGCTTGAATGATGCTCAAATCGCGAGCAACCTCACGATACTGGAGCAGTTAGATAAAGTGTTGGTCGCTGGTAAACCACAGCCGCCACCATCAGCACCACGACCTCCGCCTCCACCACCACCAACAAGAATGCTTCCAGCGGATGACCAAGTTTGGAAAAAATGCAGAGAAAAGGGATGTATGCTCTCATGGGCAATGCGCTACGAAGACAGCCAAGTAGGAACCTATTACGTTCCGCCCCGCTCTACAGCAGCGTCGCCGTACCAAAGTCTGAGTGACCTTGCGAAGTGGTTTTGGTTTCGATGGCCCCAGACCAGCATAAGGGAGGAATATTTCGATTTCAACCGGGCTTGGGGCATCGGCCATGCACTCGAAGAACTCGGAGTTAATCCGTATGCAGATGAATACGAGGGAGGCGAGAATCGGGTCTACAGTGTTGACCACAAACTACCGCCCGATAACCCTTACCACGATATTCCTGTCGCTGACCAGAAGTACAAGGTCAACGACAAGACGTATAGGGCCACAGCTGCTAGCTTTTCCTTTTCACTGAATCCGACAGACGGTGTCATCATTGGTCTGAACCGAGAGAGCCCCAAAGCAACGGGAAAACAACAGGAGCCACCAGTCCCAGATGACCAGATGCCGGAACTTACCCAGTTTTCCGATGTGGCGTGGCTGAGTTGGGATGATATGGTCAAAGAGAAGAATGGCGATCTCAGTAACATTCGATATTTCATCTCAGTTTTGGTCGTTAACAGAGAGACCGTCTCAGTCGTGCTGAGAGCATCGGAAAACAGGGGATGGGGAGTCGATGATTGGCCAGGTCATATATTCGAGGACGGGTCGCCAGAGATGCATGCAATCATGGGTAAGTCTCGATCATTCCAGGAGGGGTTGTAAGACGACTACGAACCACGTTTCTCTGAGCAAGTTTGGTTGTCATTAAACTTTGTGGAGGGTACTGGGTCGTTGGTACATGTCTACCAGCATCTGTTACTGTAGCCTGGCTGCCTTGTGGCACAATAAGGTTGCTGTCAGACTCGATGTGGTTCAGCGACACCCTTCTGGGCCATTCAAGGCTGTCTTGTTGTTGATCTTTTATCATTGCGAAAACCTCCCGGCTGACTCGTGACCAGGCACTCCAAATATGTGAGAGATACCCCTGTACGAACTGTATGCGAAACATATACTGACTTCGTACGCCCACCTTAAGGCAAGGCTTCGCGTATATGTTAATTCAGCACAAAGCGCAGCTGGGTAATCTGTACGTCAGCAAAATACAGGTCTTCAGATGTGAAACATTGCACCGCAATCCATGCATTGTTGCACACGTATCGCAACCAGGCTCTGGTTTAGGAGGCGGTCCAGAATTGATCCCAAACGAGGACGTTGCGGAGCAGGTATCAGTCAGAGGAGTAAGACGGGACGAAAAACATAATTTGGTTCGTACACACAAAATATTCGCGAAGTTACAACGGTGCGGAAAGCTATAACTTCTAGAATAACCGAGAAGATCTCATGAGAAGTCTGGCCTTTCCTTGTTGGCGGAGAAGCTTTTTTCCCTAAGCTGTTCTCCATCTATGCTACAATTCAAAGGCATACGTAGTATTCTACCTCAAAGGACCGAGAAGAGAGTGGCATGATGCATCTTTGTAACAAGTTCGAACGTTCAAGATATTACCCAGTAAAGTGAAATCTTTCGTACTTTGGAGAAGCGACATGATTGAAACCTCTTTCACGCATTGTGTTCATGGATCTTGCTTGTGGTATCATTTGTCAATACCGAGGGTGGGAGAAGGTGAGAAAGCCATCTACGATCTGGTACTTCTTACCTCACAAACATAGTCGCTCTTTCTCCAGTGAAAGTGAAAGTGGTTTCGTACAGCTCGCCTTAAGCGACACACAGCTAAGTATCTCTCACTTCTCAACTGTTGGTTCTTTTCTGGAAATACTCCCCAGCAAGTATCATTCGAGAATATGCAGATCATAGGGTTCCTTGGGCCGGCTGTCCTCGTCGTTACCGTCGCCGGCGATATTTGTCAAAAGTAAGCATTCTACGCACCTCACCGCTATCGATGTATCCCATCACCACGATGTATGCTTGATTACATGACAGGATAACTGACTGCGACTTCTAGATGCTCAAGTGAAGACGCAGCCTCCGTCAATCTTAAGATACCGGGGGCGCCAGATGCAGATCCATTCGTTGTCGCATCGAAGCCAGATGAAGTTTTTGTCGCCGCCGGAAAGTGGCCCAGACCAGCGACAGATGAAGTCTGGGATAGTTGCAAACAAAAAGGGTGTCTAATTGAATGGTCGATGCACCACAATAATGACCAAGTTGGACTCTGTTTTCTACCCCCGCAGATAAGTGCAGAATCTTCATTCCAGACCTGGGAAGATCTCACAACGTGGTATTGGCACGAATACCCAGAAGACAAGATGGGCAACGATGATGATAACCAACTACGCGATGATTGGGGCCTTGACGGTGCATTAGACGGGCTTGGACTTTCCTCGTATACGTACCTGCGCAAGGGAGGCAAAAATCGAATCCTCGGCATGGCCCACGTCGACCCTTACGGCTCGTCTATGGCCGACCACCAGACATACCAAGTTGACGGCCAAACTTATCGGGCAACCGATGCTGATTATACGATGTCGTTCAACACAGAGGAGGGTGTTATAATTGGGTTAAGTCGCGAGGGCCCTGCGACGAGCGCTCTACGTCGAAATCCGTCGATTCCAGCAGCTCAAATGCCCATACTCCATCAATTTTCTGACGTGGGCTGGCTCACATGGCAAGAGATGACAAATAGGGACGGCCATGATGCCAAAAATCTTCGATATCTGATTTCTGTCTCCATCGAAAATCAAAAAACCCTATCAGTGTGCCGCAGGGTATTCATCAACAACAGATGGAAGGGCGGACCCTGGCCAGGGCTTACACTGAAAGCCGGTATGGATGACTTTAATGCCATCTTAGGTACCCCGAACATGCAAGGGTAAGAAATACACCGGTACGAACTGCATGTGAGACATACACTGATTTTGCACGCGAACCTATAGGTACGGATACATGCTGATTCAGCACAAAGCGAAACTCGGTAACATGTACATCAGCAAAATCCAAGTCTTTGCGTGCACCGGAACCAGAAAGGTCTGTATCGTCGCACACGTATCCCAACCACGATCCGCTCCAGCGTCGGTCCCGGACCAGGGCGTTGAGAAACAACCATCAGGTAGAGCAAGACGCGACGAGAACCACAACTTGGTTCGTAGTCACAAGATCTTCGCGAAATTATGAGGTGAGGATTCGGCGTGGAAAAGAAGGACAGAAAGTACCTGGACTTGTGGCTGTCAGTTGGGTGTGACTGCCCGGGTTAGATTTGGGTGCTGGGTCGCGAATGCCTTGATGAGACACCAGGCATGCGCGCCCCTTACTGGCTGGGTTTGGGTACTTTGCTTTCCAAACTCAATGCTTTCTCGATCGTCAGTCCCATTTAATTCCGTCTCTTTTTCGCTTTTGAAAATGCTTGATCCAGTCAGATAGCTCGATGCACGCCACATGTTGTAGGCAAAAGTAAATTCATGCTACTAGCCAATGACACGACCTCTACGCGCATCACGACGAAGCGGATCCGGCAGCCGTGTGCCCGCATGTTGTTATGAGGGGATCCGAACGCAGGGCAGGATACTTACATATACTACAGCAGGCACCGCTGCGCGTCAGACCCAAACTTACATTGCTCAACCACAGAAACTCGCCGTCGATTGAGGATCAGCAGTCATGTTGTGCAGGCGTGCCTGCTTCGGTACGCCAGTACGTCAGGCTCGGCCAAACGTCATATGCCACGGTTGCCCCGCGCCGTAGGATGAGGGCGCGCGCATGACAGCCAACGGAGGAACATCTGCCGCCGTCCCAGGCAATCAATTCGCATCTACACGATGCGACCGTGGGGTATTAGCCGTTCCTCCGAGCGAGGTGCTGGTAACAGTTCCGGGCCATGTTCATCTCGCAGGCTCTGAGACAGCTTAAAGGCTTTTCCCTACCTCCTCGGCTTTCCTTACCCCGCTAGCGACTCAAACGACTAAGCCTGTCGTCCTATCAGCCGAGTATCTTCGCCGCATTGCGCAATCGGAACCGCGGCCGGTAGCGAACGAAACGACTTCTGGACGCCCTTGGATCTGCCTTTCCGAGGTTATACCACACCATCTATTAGCCATGAGGCCTGCGACTACAGCGCCCGCCGCTTTCCGCGCTGCAACATCCGTTGCACGACTCCCCCGACGACAGACTTGCAGCTTTGCGACGCGCTGCTTAGCTTCCCAGACAGCTGCGAAATCGGCCCAGTTTTCGAGCCCGCGACGAACCACCGCAAACAGCGCCCCAACAGCAGCATCCAGTCTGTATACCCAAATCGGACAGTACAGGATGGCGTCCCAGGCAGGAATCAAGAAGATCAAGGTCAAGAACCCAGTGGTGGAGCTGGACGGTGATGAGATGACCAGGATCATCTGGCAGGTCATCAAGGACAAATTCATCCACCCATACCTTGACATCGACCTCAAGTACTACGATCTTGGTCTGCCATACCGTGACGAGACCAACGACCAAGTCACGCTCGATGCTGCCGAGGCTATCAAGAAGTACTCTGTTGGTGTAAAATGCGCTACAATCACCCCAGATGAACAGCGCGTCGAGGAGTTCAAGCTCAAGAAGATGTGGCTGTCGCCAAACGGCACCATCCGAAACATCCTGTATGTCGCACATTGGGGCAACGGAAGAAGCATGGCTGACAGCATATTTTAGAGGAGGTACCGTTTTCCGCGCGCCCATTGTCATCCCCACCATCCCTCGTCTTGTCCCTGGCTGGAAGCAGCCCATCATCATCGGCCGTCACGCTTTCGGCGACCAATACCGCGCCAAAGACCGCGTTATCCCCGGCGAAGGCACACTTGAGATGGTCTTCACACCCAAGGGCGGCAAGCCTGAGGTCATCAAGGTCTACGACTTCCCTGCTGAGGGTGGTGTCGCGCAGACCCAGTACAACACTACCGCGTCCATTGCCGGTTTCGCACACGCCTCTTTCAAGATGGCCTTGGACAAGAAGCTACCTCTGTACATGAGCACCAAGAACACCATTCTCAAGGCATACGACGGAAAGTTCAAGGATGTCTTCCAAGAAATCTACGAAAGCCAGTACAAGAAGGACTTTGAGGCCGCCAACATCTGGTACGAGCACCGCTTGATTGACGACATGGTCGCCCAGATGATCAAGAGCGAGGGTGGCTACGTTATGGCCTTGAAGAGTGCGTACACGTCTCATAGCTCACGAAACTCCGCTGACATTTTTAGACTACGATGGAGACGTCCAATCCGACATCGTTGCCCAAGGTTTCGGCTCCCTCGGCCTTATGACCTCCACTCTCATCACCCCTGACGGCAAGACATTCGAAGCCGAAGCCGCGCACGGCACCGTCACCCGCCACTTCCGCGAACACCAGAAGGGCAACGAGACCTCCACCAACCCCATTGCCTCCATCTTTGCCTGGACACAAGGTCTGGCCAAGCGCGGTGAGCTAGACAACACACCTGAGCTCGTCGTTTTCGCCGAGCAGCTTGAGAAGGCTTGCGTGGACACTGTGGATGTCGATAAGATCATGACTAAGGATCTGGCCCTTGCGTGCGGCAAGAAGGACCGGGGTTCTTGGGTCACTACCAACGAATACCTTGATGCGGTCGAGAGGAGATTGAAGTCGAGCTTGAAGGAGAAGCTGTAGATGCGTAGAGGAATTGAATAGCTGCTACAAGGTTTGGATCAATATCTATTGGATAACAGCATGATACCTAGCTACCATGCAGACGAAAATCTGCTTACTCTTGGGCAGAAATCGATCATCCTCCAAGTAAATTAGGCCTGTGCATCTCTTCGTTTGCCAGTGAGGCGCGACGCATCTTTTTTTGGTATGGAGCTCGTGCCATGCAGTCTCCACCTGTTCCCGAAGCACGTTTCTTTTGATGAACTGGGTTCACGCTAATTTCCGAAGATACCTAACTCCTCAAAAAGAAACGTGCTTCTTGCATGTCTCACTGCAGTATGTATGCATATGCGGGACGATCTGATGTTTGTTTGTTACACAGCTGATTGCAGAACATTTTTCGCAATTGTTCTCTAGAGCTCTCTGTAGTTCTCTCGATTGATACATTTTCCAACAGTCCTGCGTTGAGCGCTCTTGATCTCTTCAACAGTCGCTGTTCGTCTTATCATAGACGAAATCACATGATGGAGGCGTTCACTGATATCGATAGCGGGATCATCCCGACTGCAGCAGCTATGACCTCTAGTGCGAAGCCGACCACCACGCCAGCCTCCGTACCAAACAAGAACGCCGCATATACAGCCACCAATACCACTCCGCTGTCGTCGCCTAAAAAGCACGGCAGTCCCTCGACTCCTGATCAAACTCCATTGCGTCAACGCTTTCTGCGGGCAGTCTCTATGTCGCCTGCGATACCGTCTCGCCCATCTATGGAGGGCCGTAAGACTTCTGAGAAGGCGCGCGACAGCCCAATCGTAGTCCGCCATACACCTAAGAGGACGAATCAGCCGCCAATGAAGCTCGAAGTTGGCCAGGGTGCGTTCTATTTCTCCATTGAACTACCACCCAGTAAAATCACAAGCAAGAGGAGCGGGACGACGAGTAAGAGTGGGACGCCCAAAGGAGAAGAGATGCCCACGAGGACGCGGACGCCTAGCCCGTTGAAGAATGCGAGTCCGACGAAAGAAGACGCAGCAGGTACGCCCACAAGGACGACACGCAACCCGCTGACGCGAAGGAAAACGATCCACCAGAGCCCAGCAAGACCTTTGTTTGGCACACCAACGAAGATGACGCCCAAGCAAAACCCGGATCCGCAAACTCCCACTCGGAGAACGCCCAGTCCACAAAAGACGTACAGCTCGGTGAACCAGAGCCCTGCCAGGATAGCTGTAGGGACGCCAAGGAGGAAAGTTCTGGGTGATACGCCTGGTAGCAACCGACCTGGAAGTCCAGTTAAGCGATCGATCGAGGAGGACGACTCGCCTACAAATCCGATCAAGACATCTTCTCTGTTGACGAATGAAGTTCAAACAAACCCGAAAGAAACATCCAGGAAACCGATTGGAGGCCTGACCAGTGTGGACGATGTACATGTTCCAAACGCAAACCTGATCGCAACTGCCTTCACCAGCCCACCACCCCCACATCCTGAATCCACAGAGCAGGCATCAACCCCAAAAGCTAGCCCAGAGAACATCGGACAGCTCATGGCAAGCCTAATATGCGACAATACCAGCACTCATGACTGGACGTCTTCCCACCACGATAACGAAATGGCCTCACCCATACCGACACCCTTGCGTAAGGCTGGAGAGAAGCTCAAACTAGGAGAGTCGCCCTCTTTCCTGCGCATGTCACCCAATGGAACCACGACCGTCACACGCGATGACCCTGCTGCTGATATCATCAAAAAAGGATCATTATTTCGGCACGAACCTGCGTCAACTGAACCACAAAAAGACCGAAGCAAGTCGATTGAACGCCTATCGCCTAGACTTCCGGAGGAAGCCTCGTCATCTTCAATCACAGAAAATCAGGTGGCCAGGCTTGATCATACTGGAACCACGCCACAAGAATTTCAATCTGCCTTTCTATTACGTCAAGCTGATCCGGGATCCCCGAGTGCAATAAACGCGATGCGCCCGTCACCAGCCCCACCACGTCGCTCACTTTCATGCTCAAAACAGAGGTCAGAAACGCACCAGAAAGAGTCGTCTCAACAGGAATACCAGGCCAGAGGGCATGGAATAGACAACAGCCTACCAAAGTCTTTCTTGCCCGTGCCTGCAAGCCATCAGAGACGGATAGGCACTGATCCAAGCGTGCTTCTGAAGACGCAGAAAGATACGGTAAAGCTGGGAGCGACTATGTGCCGTTCGGCAGGAGTTGTCGACCCAGACTTTTGCGGGCCTCTGCACCTGAACGAACTTCCTGATATGCCAAAAAGCCTATTCGTCAGGGATCAACAGGACATCGGAAGCCCATGCGCCGAGGGCATACCAGAGTCTCTCAGTAGAGCCGACTCTGCCACCTCCTCGCTTCAGGCAGTGCAAGCAGATGGCGAGAAGGGCATTGAAAGACCAACGGCGACACCAAGAGTATCAAGTGCGCCACGCATACCCCGGTGGAAACCTGTTGGTGCAACGCCGGCGCTGGCGAAGGATGATCGCGTTGCTGCAGCCAAGCGAAAGGACTCTCAGAGTAAAGGTGCAGACAAAACGGTGGCTGCGGGAAGAGCTCGTCCTCGTGCAGGGAGTGCAGTGTCAAGACCAACTAAGTCTGGTACAGTGGCTAGCACGGCTCGTCGTAAGACGCTAGCGACGCCTGTCAACCCGACATTACCTGTTGAAGCTACAAGCCATGGCTCACCCCACAGCCGGATACCATCTCTCACGTCTGCTAATACAAAAAGCCCCATACCACCTGTACCAAAAATCCCACGAAAGCCTCTTCCTGGAACTCCGGGTCCCGGTAAGGCCGTTGCAGCGCTGAAAGAACGTTTACCAAATGTACCATCTGCACCCATCAATCCTCGCCCTGTCCCCACCCGGAAGCCTCTTCGCCCATCCGCTATAGAACCATACAACCCATCAGCGGACCCGCGACCGTACGAACAGAAGTTCGCCAGTGCAGGAGACATCGCCGACCGCCTCGCGGGATGGCATAACGAAAATCGGAAGAAGGCTGAGGCAGATCATGCCAAAGTCCCAACTAGACCATTCAACAAGACTCCTGCGAGAACCCCACTGAGAACCCAGCCAATTGAATCGACCACACCAGACGGCTCCCCTGACAAGAACCTCATTCTCCTCATGGAGACGCCGGCATCCACTGAACCCCTCTCTCCCACCGAAGATGCAAAGTCAAGGCCGTTCTCCACTAAGCCTCCGCCGCCAACAACACCCAAAACCAAGACCCGCGCCCCAGCACTGGCACCAAAAACTCCAATACCCAAAACTCCAGCACTGGGCGCCCGCAAAGCTGCTGTCAATGACCTGAGGCAACCCATCATGGCTGGCGCTCCCAAAACCCCAGTGAATCGCCGTATGACAGTCCTCGATCGTAATGCAACGCGTACACCAAGCAAAGATATCGTGAGCAGCCTAGATGCCGCCATCGACAGGAAGATTGCGGAGGATGCAAGAAGGGGACTGGAGTTCACCCCTGGTGGAAATAGACTGAGGGATCTCTTGAACGCGAGGGACGGCTACTTGGGTGAGTGAGCTGCAGGAGTGATGGAGCTGATGGTGTATGATTATCTTTCTCAAAGGCAATTAGGGATGAACGGTTGGCACTTTATCACTCTAACCGTGGTATGCTTCTGAAGGTGTAAATAGCATGTAGGTCTTCTCCTAGGGTGCATGTCAGGATTTTCTTATACAGCAGGGTTGCAAGGAAGCAATATACACTCGCAGTTAAACATCAATAGTAAACTAGTAATACATCAGTAATACAGTACATATGCTTAGAGTGTAAGCTATCGATTTGCCGTTGCAGCGTTTCCAACGGGACGTAATACTGTACGGTTGAAGCTATCGTGAGGTACGTACGGATCGATTTCTGGTGTTGTACGTACTGTAGGTCCAAAAAAAGCTCTAAGTACGGGCCGTAACCGTAGTACGTTC